AATAATTTGATAGTAGAAGGGGATTCCAAGGTAGTAGTGGGCTGGTTGACAAGTCCAGAGACAGCTTGTTGGGGCTACAGGGATCTGTTAAAGAAAGTTAAATGGCTGACAAGGAATATGTCAGTCAGGTTTCAGTGGGTCAGCAGATCAGCAAAATGCAATAGCTGATTCTTTGGCCAAGCAAGGGGTGCCAAGGGGAGATCTGTTTTGGGCCACTTTGTAACTGTGTTTCAGGCTTGTGTTTGTTTAGTGTTTATGACTCAGTCCTAGGGGGAGGTAACACCTCGTGCCTCTTCCTAGGCTGAATGTACTACTATTTTTTGAATTAATAAAACTGCTCTCATTTATCAAAAAAAAATATGATGGCACAGTTTTATGGTATTCTCCTCCTTCTATTTGGCATCCATCTCTTTTTGATCAGCTTCTATTTGGCATCCATCTTGCACAATTATTAACCACGGTTTCTGTTTCAAAAAAAAAAAGGAAAGAAAGGAAACCTCTTTCCTTTACCCATTTGTTAATTCCTCCTTAAATTATAGCCCTGTCTTTAGGGGGTGATCGGTAGTGGCAAATTCTTCAACTGCAAAAATTGTGGTTCATGTGCAATGGACACACGCAGCACAACAAAGAGTAAAATTGAACTTTGGTGGCTCATTGGGCAACCTAGGGCCCTCTAGAGTTGAGGGAGTATTCAGAGACAGGGAGGGCAGGCTGAAAGCTGCAGACAAGAAGCATGGTTGTGCTGAAATTATGGCCCTACTTCAAGGTTTGAGGCTGGTCAAGCAATGGGGATTTCAAAATTTTGAGTTGGAGGGAGACTCTAAACTGATAATAGGATGGCTGCAGACAAAAAGCTTGGGATGGACCTTTAGATAGCAAATGATGGAGACTCTTTCTTAGCGAGGGAAGCTGGAGTAATCTTCAAGTGGTTAAGGAGGACAGCCAATGTTTTGGATGATACTTTGGGCTGTGTTGTAAACTTTGTAATATTTTTGGGGCCAACACTCACGCTGTGAGTGATTGACTTTGTATGTGTTAAACTGTTGTTTTAATGAAAGTTAATGTTTCCAATCTATATATATATATATATATATATATATTATAACCCTATCTAACCATTATGGTGACTTCAGTTCTGTAGTGAGCTACCTTACACCAAACGTCTTATCAACTGTAAAAGTATGTTGTCGTATCAAGTCAATCTCAAACTAGTGATATTATATAACATACATCCTAGGCAACCATCCCTTCTCCATGTCAATGTTTTAAAAGCAAGAAGTGTAGTTAAAGCACAAACGGCTTCTAGAACCTAAGGTGTGTGTCTAAAAGAAGTCCAATGCCATTTTGAAAAAAAAAAAAAAAACTTAAAATGCAAGAGCATCCAAATCAAAATAGACTAATTCAAAAAGCATATTAGCCCAATTGGTTAGAGTATCGTGTTGTTAGCATGAAGGCTGAGCCTTGTACATTTAAGTCCTCTATTGGCTAGGCTGTTTAGATTCTAAGCATCATCACAGCTATGCACCACAACCTAGTAAATTGCACAATCAACACCAAAATCAAGGTTCGTTCATCAAAATATAGCAAAACTCCAGATTGGTGCAGCTTTGCTCAAGTAGGGTCCGCCCTAACAAAACATGATGTACCTATGAGTCTAAGTGTGCACCTTTTATGGCACTGCTCCATGGTTGAAAACATGTGTGGCATTTTTCTCTTATAACTTCCAATTTAGTAATTTATAAGGCTTACTTGATGGAAAGTGGAAAAAAAATAATAGCCTGACTGTGTATAAGCAATACAATAATGGATTATAAGAATTTGTACTACAACTTACATACAAAGAAATCATAATGCTTTACCTTGAGATCTCGACTTCCCTTTGTAGTGGGGTTAAGTCCAGAAAGTACAAAAGGGAGGATTCTCTTCACTTTATCACTATCAACTGATGGAATGGCACCTAAAACCTCAACAACAACTGCAGTACAAAAGCTAACCACTGGTCTTGAAGGCCGGGACTTCTTTGATGGTATCGCCTGTTAAAAGAAACAATTAAATATGAGATGTCGTCATAATTAAAAAAGGGAAACATAATCAAGTGAGATGGGAAAAACTCACATAGTTGCATAAAACTTCCAAAACCCCCATATCACGGATGCATTGCTGAACTATAATCTTCCTTGGCGGTGGTGCACCTGAGACTTTAGTGCCTTCAAGAAATCTCCACTTACTGTTTCTGCATATGGAAAAGGGAGGGGAAGAGAATAAGCATTGCAAAGGCCACTAGTAACTTCTTTCTAGATGACACATTCTTGACAAGGAATAGTTTCCTTACCCCAAGTCTACTAATTGCACAATCCGAACAAAAGCATGGGTATCATGGTAAGGCAAAGCACAGAGGACCAGTTCATCTGTGTTGTAGACATGGGCCCTGTAATCCAAAGTACAAAAATAATTCAAATTAAACATAACTGCGAGGAATATGACCCTGTAATCCACTAGTAACTTCTTTCTAGATGGCACACAACTCAACCCGCCAAAACTTATAAATGGTAAATTCAAGATAGAATAACAGAATTTAATGCTTACTTGTATCTGCGAATTAAGTACTCAAGTGTCTTCAGTGCAGCATGCAGTTGGAGGTGCCCGGAAAGTAACCGCAAATACGAATTAATCGATGTGTCAATGCGGCTATTTTCTTCCGCATTCATCATTTCTCTATCTAATTCTCCACTCCTTTGACTAAATAAAACATCTTTGTAACATCTAAAACGCTCGTCCGTGTCTATTAGAACCTCCAAACCTGCAAAATCGATTTAAAACAACATAATATATTAAAGCAACCAATACTAAAAAAAAAAACAACTAGACAATGATGAGTAAGTCGAGCTTACCTGAGAGCGCAATAGAGAGTATTGTGTCAAGGTCGGTGTCGGCAGCCTCTTTGGGATTGAAGATGATGGAAGGCCGAGTAAAGGGTCTTTTGGTGGGTTCTGAATCAGCTTTTATATAAGACTTAATTGCCTGCAACTGAGAAGCGATCGTTGTAGCCATGGTTGATATCGCTTTGGAGATTCAAGAGCTCTTGCAAGAATATTGCTTTGGAGGTTTAGGAGCTCTTGCAAGAATAACGCTTCGAAGAATCAGGAACTTTTGCAAGGAGACCGTTTGTTTAATCCCTAAACCCCTAAACCCTATAACGGCGCCAACCGCACGGGAGATTTAGGATCGAATCCCGTTGTCACCAAGGGTGGGGGGAGGAGTTGTCATGATACATGAATCATGAGTCACGACTCGCGGGTTTGGATGTCGGGCTACCCACCGCCCCCCCCGCTCATCCTAATATAGTCAAAACCCTCGACGGTGAAGAAAATTAACCAATTGCACATGACTAGTACTACAATTTTGTCATTTCCTAATTTTCTCACTATGAAAATTTTCATAGGGGTGCAATTTGGGCGCGGCTTAACCCGAACCCGGACCGGTCCAATCCGATTTTTTCACGGGTTGGGTTGATTTTTTTGGGCCTTGGGCTTGAAAATGCGGGTTTTTATATTTTTCAGGTTGGGTTCGGGTTGATGTCTTGAGTAACTCAAGCCTGGCCCGGTGTGTTGTACATGTGCATTGATAAATTATAATATATGTGTATACAGTTTAATTGTATTTGTTAATGACTTAATGGTAGTTGTTTAATTAGTAAATTAYTAATTTAGTATTAGGTGCCATGTGCCAAAGCCATTACTAGTTAGTTTCTTTTTCTAAACACTTACTTCCCTTTTCTAGAGGTGTACCCGTGGGCGGGCCATGTCATGCTAGCCCGCGAGCCATCATGGGCTGTGCCGCCCTCCCCAGTGGAAATTTTGGGGGTCGGCCCAAGCAGGCCCATGCCGTGTTGCGGGCCTGGGCCGGGCCATGGGCCTAGGCCAAACCGGACTACATTGTTTTTTTTGAAAATTTTGATTTCTTTTCTAAATAAAATTGTGAAACTAAAATATTTAACTTTCTTTTCAACTTTGGGAATTGGGAACCATTTAAAAAATTAAGAAATGAAAAATCTAAGTTATCTAACACATAAATGAAAGATAATACTTCACCAAATTGAAATAAGAATGATGCAATAGCAAATTGAAAGAAAAAAAGGAATTTTACTTCATTTAAATTTTAATGGTACAAATTATAAATATAATGATTTGATCATTGGATACTTGGATGAATGAAATATGAAAGTGTAATAAGTTAATAAAATATAAAAAATACAATATGGTTGCAAATTAAAAATACAAAAATACATTGTTAAAAATTTTAAATATATATCAAATAAATTAAAAATAATTACAAATAATTAAAAACAATTACAATAATTTGAAAAAATAAAATATTCTATACAAGTAGTCAAATTCATGAATCATCATTCATGACTTTCATCTTCTGCTTCAGGTGAAATATTCGGTATAGTATCATGCTCTCCATTGTCTTGTAATCTATCTTCCGCATATAACCAATCCTTGAAGCAGATGTACATCTCTATGCTTTCATCGTTCATGCAGCTTCTTTTGTCATCGAGCACCCTGATACCTGCACTAAAACAAAACTCCGATGTACTGTAGACACTAGTGGGGTTAGTAGATCATGTGTCATGGCGACAAGAGCTTAATAATTTTTCGAATGTTCACCCTACTAGGCTAAAAGAGAGAGTGAGAGTTGCCACCATTGGTAAAGAGAGAGCAAGAGCCATGGGAGTGGGGTTGTGCCCATCCCTGTCAGAGAGAGAGAGAGAGAGAGAGATGATGAGAAAACAAAAGTAATCAAACCAAGGCTCTGTGCTCAATTGCTCATCAAGTTGGTTGCTGTGTTGAATAGGGTTAGAGAGAGAGAAGAGGAGGGGAGTGGAGAGGGCCACCCCTGGCTACACTTCCCGGTCAGTGCGGATGACTACCTCAGCCCATTCATAGTCATCAGAGTTCAGATTTGCAAAAAGAGACACCGGTTGACAATTCAATTTGTGGGTTGGATTGTTCCGATGGAACCTCAGATTCTTGATTGAGGAAGGATTTAACCTTTAGAGAGGAAAGTTATTGGGATGATCGATCAGTTTTTTATTTTTGTTTGAGGAAGCTCGATCCACTTTCACATTCCTTCAATGCCAACAGAAGACGCACGGAGGGGTCAAGAGTTAGGATCTCGGAAGCGATGTAGTCCTTTTATTTGTTGGGTCTCGGAGTATTTGATGTCAGGTCTCACGAGATGATGATTCCCCACCTAGCGAGATACGGAATAAAAATGGCACCATGAGATTTAAGCATTGACAACCGAATAGAGGGGTCAAGATGACGGAAGTAAAGCCTTAGAATGGACTACAATCTCATGGATTTGGGGACTTTCAAGCTATAAAGAAACCAACACATGAGAGGACTAAAAGCGAGGAAATGGGATCCCTTCAGAGGTGCGACCCTATTTCCATGGTCTAGTAGAAAGAGAGAAAGGTCAAAGGATAAAGAATTAACTCTGGCTTCTTCTCCTCAGCATAGTTATAGAGAAAATAGTGCAGAACAGTCAGCTTTGCTCTCGCAAGTCAACCAAAGAGTTTGATTTGTAATCCTCATTTGGACCTCAAGCTCCTTAATTCCATTTAGAAGAGAGCAATGATCATGTCAATGAGCTCTCTACTCTGACTCCCATTGATGTTAACAAAGCTCATCGGATAAAGAAGCTCCATACTCTGGCTTCGACTCTCGTCGATCATCGAACCACAGGGAAGAAGCCAATAGGGTTTAGCCTTGTCACCGAACAACCTATCACTCAACTGGCTTTTGGGTTCCAACTCCATCAACGATGTGGTCATCAGGGGCAGAGCCAAGGGGACCAAGGGGAGCCATGGCCCCCCCTATGGTTTAGAAACTCCCCACTAAAAAACAACTTTCCATGTAAATTTTCTCCTCTCCCCACTCTCCTTCTCAATGGTTGTCCCCCCCTTTATGGGCCCATCCATATTTCATTTATGTTTTGGCCCCCCTTATAACAATTTCCTAGCTCCGCGCCCTGGTGGTCATGCCCATGCATAAGTTGCAACTTAGTAATGATCATCTGGCCAAGATCTTTGGTTGCAAATGTAGAACCGCTCTTTTATGGTGATACCACGTTGGGAAAGAGAAGTGATTTGGGTGACGAACGAACGAAGAATGAGAGACATCAAGGTGGTCATGGTGTTCCATCATCCAGGAGGTGGTCATGGTGTTCCATCGTCACTGTAATTGCCACTGGTGACGGTGTTCCAACGTCGGTGATGAATAGTAAGGGCATTTTAGAAATTTTAAAATAATTAACGCTCACGTGATGTCACATGTGAATGAAGTGTGACGGAAAATTAACGGCAAGGGAGGTGTTAGACAATTGTAAGAAAACTTAAGGGTAGCTTAAGACAATAACTAAATAGTAAGGGTACAATTTGTCAATTTCGTGAATAGTAGGGGTAGTTTAAGAGATTTACCCTTAAGTTGATTTATAGATATCATGATATGTTTATATTTTGTGCCAATGAAAATAAATAAATTACAAGTTGTCACCCTATACTTTACTGGTGGTAGGGATGGCAATGATGGCAATTTCTACCCTACTCATCGAATGCCTACTACCATGTAGGTGTGTGTGTTTTTCTTGAATGCCATATTTGGGTGTGTGGGCAGGTTTTGAAATTCTACAACCCATATAGGTATGGGCATATTGTTAGAAAACATATGAACTTTTATGTATATAGGTGTTGAATTTAATAATATTTTGAATTGTATGCAAAGGATATTTGACGTTTATGAGTTTTTTTTTTTTACGTCTTAACAAGAAATTGTATTTTTTTGGTGTTTTTTAGTGTTATCTCACTTATTTGTTTCTTATGTACAATAAGAAATATTAGGAAATTATATTTGGGTTCTAAACCCAACCCACCATACCTTGGAATGTGGGGAGGGTTTTGCATTTTCATGTGTGGAGAGGGTTTGGAATATCAAAATCCAACCCAATACAGGTTTAGGAGCGGATATGGGTTGGAAGGTTTAGGGAGGCGGGTTGTGTATAGAATTTACAAAACCTTCCCCAAACCTGCCATGTTGCCATCCCCAAAGGGGTAGTGACCCTTATCTCTCTAAACTTTAATATGTGACTGTTTAAGTTGTTCAAAAACACCCAATACTATGTTTGAAAAGAGTACAAATATAAATGTGTAGTGCAAAACCTTCTATCTTACATTACATAAGTCGTATTTGCACTATACATATTCCAAAATGAGCCTAAATAACTCCTTTAAGCATATTTCCACAAAGGTGCTCAATAAAAAAAATCTGAAAAAATGAATTAAACTAAGAAAAACAAATAAAAAAATCCAATTAATCGTACCGATTTGTTTGACGCTTTTCAAAAAATGATGATACCAATTTGGTTTCGGTTAACCTATAAGAAAACCCAATGTTTAAACTGACCTATATAGCTTTAGTGTGATTTGCCATCTTTTCAATAACCAATGGTGCCAATTTGGTTAAAAAAGGGCTAACGAGCCCACAATTCAATTAATCGAACCATGAACAACCCAATACTTCCCCCTCACATTTTTTCATGGTAGGTTTTTGTTTGAATACAAGTATCTATCTGAAGTTTTTTCACCCGTCATATATGACCTTTATAGCTTTAATATGACATGTACATGGTACACCCTTGTTGATCTAAAAATCGATATTTGTTTTATTTTTCAAAGCCAAAAGGCAAATTTCATTCAACAAGATCAACTATTATAAGTCATGGTCATTTGAAACAATTGGGATTTAGAAGTCCAGACGAGTAGACCAAGTGAAACAATTTGCAATAGGGCGACCATATTGGGCTAACTCATGGGCTGCTTTGTTTGAGGCTCGGAGAGTGTGAGTGGCTTGCACATGTGTAAAATTGTTTAAAAGAGTCCTACAGTCTGCGATGATGGTACGAATTCACTAATGAGGCTCATGAGAACTGTCCAACAGGAGTTGTACAATGGAGAGTACATCACCCTCAATCAGAAGAAATTAAATATTCAACTATGAAGCAAAGATAAGGCCCTCTCTGAACGCAACAACTTTCATTTCAACAACATTTTTAAGGGGATATTTTAGGGCTCTACTCGCTAAGAATTCATCAAGGGTATTTTGAACAATGATACCAATGCCACTAACTAGGTTACGAGTAGCCCCATCCACATTAACATTTAGCATACCGGTTGGGGGTTTTGTCCATTTGATCTCATTATCTTCAATAGTTGGCAATGGGGTAGAAATGGTAGTACTTGGAGATGAGAAGTTGAACAAGGCTTGAGATAACTCGATTACCATGACAATAGAGATAATTTTTCCTTCAAACATCAATTTGCAACAAGCCTTCCAAATACACCGCAGGGAGATCCTCTATTTATCCAAACTCACCCAACTATTTAGCTAATTATAAAAAGAATGATTTAGATATTCCATCGTTCTCAAGAAGAGACTAACTATGCCAAATCAAACTGCTTGGATAGGTGTACACGAGAAAAAGATGTATTCCATTGTTTTAGTATTCTCATTTCAAATGGGACATAATGGATTCACCTTGCTTGAACAAAGTGCTAACTTAGTGTTGATTGGTAAGATACCCTTCAAACAACACCATAGGAAAAAAAGAGGACACAAGGTTGTACAAATTTATTCTTCTAGAGCTCTTTCCAATATAAGTCCTGAAGGGCAAATGAATAATTGAAGTGTTGGCTTTCCCTAAACCAATCTTTTGTATCCTGAATTTATTGTGTACTTGCCATGAGGTGCTCATCTCCAAATAAGCTTATCGTCCATCGACTTTCCATTGATTAAGTTTGCCACCTTGCCATTACAATTCCAGTCCAATGATCCCTCTAGAACCACATGTTGCAAAGCATCATTCTGAAAAGGCCACGAGTCATAGAGAACATGGGTTTTCCAACCATTTCCAATTAGCCACTTGTCTCCCACTGTAAAGTAATTTATAATATCCACTATACTTGTCCAAATCCTTGAACACCCTAACTTGAAGACTAGTTTCATGATGAGTGCAATGTTGACAAAACGTAGATCTCTAAAGCCAAACCCACCCTTCTCCATATGGTACAAAAATTCTCCTACGCCCGCAGATAAATGTGAGGGGTATTTGACTTATACCCATACTAGGAATCTCTTATGATTTTGTTCATATCTTCATAGACTGTCTTAGGGATTAGAGACATTGTTAGATGATAAAGAGGACAGATAGGGTGGAGATTTATTTCATTGAAAACGTATACATAAAGGAGAACAACACTTGTCGAAACAATAAGGGTAATACGATCATTTTCCTTTATATTGTTAATGTGGATGGCAAACTAGATGGAGTCCCAATTGGTAGGATCTTATATTTGTTGGGCATGATGGGGGGATGGGCTACTCAGCCCCCCTCCCATTATGTAGCCCTTTGAAATAAAAAGGGAAAGACATAAAGGAATGAGCATGAGTAGGTTGACTTCTAGAGTAAAACTTGGTACCTACTCAGGAAAATTCCCAATTAAGTATCCTATACTTTAGGCCTAGTGCCACTTTGGTCCACAAATTTTCAAAACATGCCAATCTAGTATCCGTTAACCAGCCATTAAATAGCTTATGAAAAGACATAAATGCCCTTCAAGCATCATATATTTTTCTTTATCAACCAGCTAAAAGTTGATAAAAAAATGAGCAATCCCAAATCCTTGCCTCTTTTATTCAATAAAGTTGGGGTTACGTTGGGATTTTTCACTTTTTATCAACGTTTGACTGGTTGATAAAGAAAACTAGATGACATTTGAAGGACATTTGTGTATTTTCAAATTATACTTAACGTTTGGTTAACGAGTTGATTAACATCAGGTACTAGATTGGCATGTTTTGAAAGTTCGAATATTGAATTGTCGCATTTTAAAGTGTAGGGACCAAAGTGGCACTAGGCCTAAAGTGCAAGGTACTAATCGAGAATTTCCCCCTACTTATCTTGTAGGGACTGATTATAGGTTTTTGGAACCATAACCCATATAGTCAATACTAGCAAGGGGCGCGGGCGAGTTGTTACATGACTTGAGTATAGAACAATTTAAGGAAATAAAGCAAATTTCAATAATTGAATGGTAGGTAATAAAATCGCAATGTGCCAATGAACCTACTAAAACATTAAGGCCTTTCAATTTTCAACTTTCAACAACACCAACTGAAAACGATAGCGATTAAAATTACATTATAGTGCTCCAACGACACCTAGTTATTTTTTGTTAAAATTAGGGAACTTTGCCATTGTCATCTTCTTGTTGCCACGATGGCCCACGAAAAGTCTTTTAAGGAAGCACTTCTCGATCAAATCTACCATAGTGGTGTTATTGTGTATAGCCATGTTGTGCAAATATTCCTAGATTGACGACTGCCATCCAATGAGAGGATTAAATAGTCATTAAATTGATGTCGGGGATATTGATCGTCCAAAAGCATTTGTAATTCTTATTTTTGAATTCTGACACAAGGTGTATGAGAGAGAAGCCAGGGACTAGGGAAGATGAGGGAAAATGAAAGATGAGAAGTCCCTATAATCGCAAAAGAACAAAAGGAAAAAAATAAAATGAAAGCGAAGATATGAAGTACGGGAGCAGCAGTAGCTCCAACATCAACAGAGAGGAAGAAGAAAAAGAAGTGTAATTAGTGAATAGGAAGAAGATGATGAGAGAGTCACTTGTGATGGATTCTACCAAACAAATCCCCACATCAATGCCTCCCCGTAATGGTAGCTTAAAATCATCCTCACCACCACTTCACTTGGTGATTTCACTCAACTGTCTCAAGGACTGTAGCTTTGAACAAGAAACCCTTGTTGGCGTTGCCACTGTCGAACACGTTAGTTTCAGCCGCCTTGCCGACGGCTGGATCAAGGCCACAACTATCATTCTCCTCCACTCCCTTTCCTTCCTCCCATGCACTGCGCAATGCCGCCTCCAGCCATGGCAACTCATTCTATGCCTTGGCTCCCCAGACCGCTCTGTCAACTCCGGCCTGGCCTCACCCATTCTGTACCCCCTTGTAACAAAGGTAAAACACCGCATCAGTCCAGAAAGCTATTATAGATGCTTTGCAAGTGAAAGAAAGAACAAAGACAAATAGAGATGGGAAGATAGGGAGAGGGAGAACGAGAAAGGGTTTCAAAGCGAAGATGGGGTGAAGCCCCTCTTCATCAATCTACCGTTCTAAGGAGTTTGGTTGAGTTATTCTCGATGGAAGCTCCTTTGGTTGACTATTCTTATGCTCAAATCTTTGCCAAATCAAACTATAGACAAAAAATCCTTGTCATAGATGAAGAAACCCCATGCGTTTGAGAACAATCAATGTAACTGTTTGTTCCCTTCTAACTCCTACTTGTCAGGTGCAGGGTTTTCATTTGCCTGCAGGTTTTGCTTCCTCATTTAACTTCACACTTTTTGCGAGTTATCTTGTTTGTTTACTGCTAAATCAAGGAGTGAGAGAGGAAAAGAAAGGCAAAGAGAGGTTGAAGATGGACATTGAGAACGGGAAGATGAATAGGGAGAGTGGGAAGAAGGGTTGAAGAAGAAAAGACCAAAAGAGATAAGTGGTTAAAGGAGAGAGAGATAGAGTATTGACACTCGTATCTCATGCAATGAAAAAATAGAGAAGTGGTCATAGGAGAGATAGATAGAGTATTGACACTTATCTTTCATGCAATGAAATTTTTTTATATTTTTTTTCACTGAGTTTGTTCACACATGCAAGTCATTGATCTAAAGCGAATTACAGTACTAAAGCATGTTGTTGAGCTTAGGTGGAGTTTGGGAGTGCTTATTTAAAAAACAAGTGCTTATTCTAGTAAGCTTTTGGTGAAAAAACACTAATTTCAAACAAGGTTAGTATAAGTAATTTTTTTATTTTTTTTTTCAAAAAGGCATGCCCAGACAAGAGACAAAAAGGAAACAAGCACTTAAAAATAAGCCCAAAAATTGAGCTTATCAAATAAATACATCCTTGGGAATAAGCACTTATTCGAGTTTATTTTCCAAATACAAATAAGTGCTTATTGGTGTAGTCCTATTGAATAGCACCTATTTTTAAGCAATGCCAAACTTACCTTGACACAAAAGTATATATTAACTTAACTTTTTTAAACATTAAAATTAAAACTATAAATGTGACAGAATTACATAACCACAAAGTGCATCATTAATAATGTTACTATCAAATGTGATTGACTAGAAATCGAATTGACAAAATGTTTATACTAGATTTGTAATAATAGTAATAATAATAATAATTATTATTAGTATTATATAATTATAATTTAAAGTCTGCAAACAATACTTTCTCTACATTACCTATTTTATACATCAAATATTAAATTAAAGAAAAATGATCAATTCGCTTGAGTGATTTAATGGCCAAATGAGACCGTGATCTTTATAACCATAAGTGTTTGGTTTAGATATTCACATCCCAAAGTGTTTTCAAATTTATTGCAAATCCGGTTCTAAGGTTGGTTTGTCCGAAGTGACTTAAGCCCCGTTACACAAGGCCAATCAAAATCAATTCTTTGAAGTTTGAATCCGATTGGATAGTGTAAACCCTCACATTTTGTAACTTGCATGGGTGGGGTTGGTTACCCTATCTATAGAGTCAATTTGAAGCCATCTAGCTTTGGGTAAAACCGACCCATTTACCCATCTGAGCATGCGTCCAACCAAAGGGGTTTTGGGTCAGGGTTTATGATTTATGATTTATGATTTACGTTTTGGTCATGAAAATCTCAAAATCACAGGTGGTCGGAGTCCGGCCACCGGCCACGGTAGGAGCCAAGAATTGCCCGTGTTACCCGTGACTACACGGGTTAAGCAGATCCGGTATCGATTCTTAAGCATCCCCAGTTCCCCACATTTGCCTTTATCGGGTTCATTGCTCCAAGGTCCCTCTGGTTCGGACTGTGTTCAGTATCACTGGAACAGTTTTCTTTACCCTAGATCGAGATCATGGCAAAGAGGTTTTAGAGGGTTGAGTGAGCTCGGATTGTAGAAGGATCGAGGAACCGCTGGGGGTCTGGGGTGGAACATTCACATGCACCCTAGAGGAGGATCGAGGATTGTGGTTTCCGACTGTGAGTCTCGAGCCCTTTTCTTGTTTCCCGAACTTCAACTATTTTTTGTTGTCAGCTACAAAGGGTTTAGCAAGAATGGCATGGAAGAGTATTCTGCAAATTGCAGGTAAGATGCTCCACGGGGTTCTTTCTGCTGCATAGGTTCGTTACCAGTTACAAAAAAATAGGAACACAAGCATTGATATCATGAAGTCTCAAAACGGAAGAAGAGAATGGAAAACTGAGGAGGAAGCATTGTTGGCAAGAAACAAATTAGACACGCGGAGAGGAAGTGTTGAGATTTTTTGACTAGAGGATTTTGTGCATAGCGAGAAGGGAAAGACAGTAGGAGAATACAAATGTAAAAAAACATTTTCTAGGAAGAACAAAAAGGTAGAGATGAGAAACCATCTTTGTTTCCCGTCGATCCCCCTCTGCTTTCTTTTCCTTCTTTCTCCGACCTCGAGTTTTGCATAACAGCGGTAATGGCAGTCAGGTGACAGTGACAGTAACCCAGCAGAAGCATTTCTCTCTGAGGGTAGTGAACAACAAGACTTGCAGGTTCTTTCTTGGTTTTGGATCGATCTGTTCACCCTCAAGCTTCCTTTCTCACCGATAGCCATGAAATCTGTGCACTCGTCCAATGTATCCTTCTAAGGTGATTTTTTGGCGTTCTCCGTGACACTGGTTTGGTGCATCTTCGTTCCATCAAATTATTATTAATAACCCTGCTTTTTTATGTCACTGTGTCATTTCTTGGTGCTTCTTCCAAGAAGATGACATGGAGGAGAAGTGAATATCTTCAAATCTGTAACCGGAAATATAGCATGGAGGAGAAGGGAAGAACTTCAAGCAAAATCAGATACAAAAACCTGCGTGTTTACAAATATACAAATTTTATATTATAAAATAGATAAACAAGTAATGTTTTTCTGCATTTTGATATCTAGATTCTTCACGTTTTTACACATTTATGGAATTTTTTTTTCATGTTTTTTTTTTTCTGTCTTTGAATAATCCGGAACCTAATAGGTTCTCTGTTAGAAATAGTAAATAAGCATATCTATGGTCCACATTGATTGTTTTTTATTTCAAAGCCTTTAGGTTATATGATATTTTTTTGAAGAATCTATCTACTAGTCTTTAAAAAAATGATCAAATTCCAATAATTAAGTGCCATAGTATGTTTACACCACTTTTCATAATTTTCAAGGTGCCAAAGCGAGGCTAGGTGATAGGGGGCAGGGGCACCTTGTTGCCTAGTCGCCTAGGTGCCTGCCTAGGCAATGGATTTTTTTTAATAAGTAAAGAAACATATATCCTAGGGTAGTTCCTAGGTTCCATAACCATATTTCCTTGATAATTATCCATGATTTTCATAAGAAAAGTATAAACTTCATGTTAAAGTATAGAAAATCAACATATTCATGAGAAGAAAAAGAAGAAAGAAAAGAAAATAAAAAAAAGAGGCTGAACCCCTATTTTTTCCACAGGACAAAAAAGAAAAGAAGAAAAAATTAATGTGTTGATTTGATAAAATTTTAAGCTCTTCCTTACTTATTGGTTCAGGTTTTGAAGTCTTTGAGAGTTCAATACAGCATTTAGCAATGTGTGTGTTAATTAAATCCTAACAAAATAATAAAAAGAAACTGGTATATAATTATATACAAACAAAATGAACATTTTAGTTTAATAATGTCTATTTTATAATTATAATCTCAATCAATTAAGAATACAAAAGTATTTTATAACACAATGTACAAAACTACTTGGCGATTAGGCGAGGTGAGCCCCTAAGGGCGCCTTGTCGCCTAGGCGTTGCCTTGACAACTATGCCACTTTTACATGCCCATGCAATTTATCTTTTCACTTTCTCACACAATATGCACCCTCATGCATTTTTTTTTCTGCTTGTAAGTCCTTGTGGACATCTTTTTTCTTGGTATTTCATAATTTATAGGGTTATAAGATTTTGCCTCCAATAATATGAGGTTACAATTTGTGGATATCTTTCTAATCCAATAACGTGGAATTATGTATATTTCTTCCCAAGGCAGCTTAGTGCTTTAAGATGTTGGAGTAAATAAAATATTACCTTCTCGCATTTATTGTTACTGCACTGTTCATTCTAGTTCCTACTTGTTTTTTACTTATCATATACGTAAAAACAGTCAGTCAAAATGATTAATTTGAATGAAACTTGACTTCTTATCTTWGTTCTTATCAATAATTGAAGGAATGAAAGGGATTCAAATTCCACGTCTTAAATGAATGAGCGGACTAGAATCTGCAGTATATGAAGTCCGATAGTATGGTAGAAAGAAAAATATGAACCTTTCTACCACACTATCTATTATTGAATAAAGTTGTACCATATTATAGATCAGTCTACAATATGTATCTTCAAATATGTACATATCACATGTACATATTACCCCCCCCCCATTTTATTTCTTCGCTACATCCATTTTATTTGTATTGATTCCGATCAATCAATCGAATGTCAATTTTTACTCTTACGGTTCTAATTCCCAGGTCTCTGATTATTTCCAATATGGATCCCTTTCATGTACATTTATAGGCAAGCCTATTAAAATAAAAAATTACCACAGATCAAAATGTTGGTTGTGATTTACATTTACTGATCCGGGGCTACCTGTATACCTATGGTCTTGCTCATAACATTTTATGTTTGTATGTATGTATGTATGTATGTGTGTGTATTATTTTTGTATATTTCATTCAAATATTTAAACTTCTTTTACCATAAATTTTCTCAATGACTCAAGTGCTCCAAGAATCTAGGTTGCCATATATTGAATCAGTTCAGGAGCCAATCTGGGGCATACTTATGCTCTAAACTGTAGAGACATTCCCTTATTTAGTATAATTCATGCTTTAGATTGCAGCTAAAAGAGAAGGAAATTCAGGATAATTCAAGGCCAACCAATCTATCACGTTTAAAAGATATGGGTTCTCATTGAGTACAGTTTATTAGAAAATGATTAGAACCTGGTTGCTTTCGAAACCAGAGCTTTGAGATCTCAGTGTCACTACTTTTGCTGAGGTTATTAATGGAGTTCACAGAGGCTTATAAACAGACAGGTCCTTGTTGTTTCTCACCAAATGCACGTTATCTTGCTGTTGCTGTTGATTATCGCCTAGTGATTCGGGATGTTCTCTCACTCAAGGTACTTACTTCATCCAAAACATTGGTTGCATTAAGAAGTTATGATCCAAATTTTAGAATTAATGGGCTTATATCAGGACTTTTATGCATTTTATTTTATTTGTTTTTTTTTTTTGTTTCTCGTGTGAAACTATCATAGAAAATAAATTTGTTGAAGAAAAGGAGAAAATTTGCATTTGACCTGAACAACAGCACATATTTTAAGTCCAATTTTTGTTATGCAGTGAAGTTTTTGTTGTTGTTGTTGGTTATTTGTGCCATACCAACAACATCTGATAATCACTAAGTATGCATTCTGAGCACATCTAATAAGTCCCCAAAATTTACGTGGACAAAAAAAATTAACACAATTTAGAGGCAAGATGATATAGTACAAGGACAACGATTTTTTTTTTGATCAGCAACACAAAATTGGTTCATTAGATTAAAGAAGGCAGCAAAAGATGAAGAGATTAATGGCATGTAACTTAAAGTGACTAATTATATAAATAATGGTAGAAAAAGACGTTTGGTGGAATGAAGAGAAGGTCCACAATATAATCAAAGCAGAATATGCATGTTATAAAGATCGTTGAAGACTAAAAATGTAGAAAACTTGGAAAATGTAAACAGACAAGAAAGGAAGCTAAAAAACAAACCTAGACCAATGATTTAAAAGGCAGTTAGAAAGAAGAGGTTTTTAAATAAGTAGAACTAAAACAAAATATATGCAATGTGAATTTAACAATAATAGGAGTGCAAATCAGGATGCCCTTGGGATTAGAGACCTGGAGATATCTCAATGTGATATTTTCTGTTACCTTGGTTTCAGAATCCATATCGAGGAGGATGCCACTCACAAAATTAGGTCAAGATGGACAAAATAGAGGGGTGCATCTGGAGCCTTACGCAATTGGAGAATACCATTCAGGCCAGAAGGAAATTTTTATAAAAGGGTTGCAAGGCCAATAAAGTTACATGAGCTTATGGGCCAGAGTGTTGTACAATCAAGAAACACCATATCTAAATAAATGAGTGTAATAGAAATGCAAATGTTAAGATGGATGAGTGGGAAAACTAGAAAGGGTAAGGTTAGAGATTAACTTTTTTGAATTTACCTTGGTGTATCTACAAAATTCTGGATAAGGTATTGTCTTTGAGGTTAAAGGAAATTCTCCCCTCCATCATTAGTCAAGCCCAATGAGCTTTTGTGCAAGGGAGACAAATAATTGATCAAATCCTGATAGCTAATGGATGTATGGAGGAAATGAGGAGGTCTTGTCGACAAGGTATTGCCTGTAAGTTGGGCTTAGAAAAGTTTTATGATTTGGTGGACTGGAATTTTTTGATTGAGGTACTAAGGAGTTGTGGATTTGGAGAAAGATGGTGTAATTGGATGAAGGGTTGTGTCAATTCCTGCCACGTTTCAATGTTGGTCAATGGCGTGGTTAGGGATTTCTTTCTAGTTTGCAGAGGCCCAAGATAAGGTGGCCCTCTCTCACCCTTTCTTGTCACCCTTGTAGCTGATGTCTTTAGTAAATTAATCACAAAAGCAGATAGGGAAGATGTAATAAAGGGTTGGAGGATAGGTAGAAATAGAGTTTTGGAAACCCACCTCCATTTTGCTGATGACATAATAATTTTCTGTGAAGGGGGCGACCTGGGTAAGGTGAGGAATCTAAGACTTCTAGAGTGTCTCCAATCTGAAGATAAATCTGGACAAGAGCTGTGTGGTGGGCATTAATACGGATGAGAGGGCTATTGGTTCTATTGCAGAGTGTTTAGATTGTACTAGCTCTTCTTGGCCTTTGTCTTACCTAGGCGGCTAGGCCTTCCTCTAGGTGCTAACCCAAAGGGGAGTTGCTTTTGGGACCCAAATCCAATATTGGAGAAGTTTGAAAAAAGGTTGGCAGCTTGGAAAAAGAGTTATATCTCTATAGGGGTAGAATAACCTTGCTGAGAGCTACCTTAGCTAACTTGGCATTTTATTATCTCTTGGTGTTTAGAATTCCCGTTAGGGAGGCCAAGAAGTTGGAGAGATTGATGAGGAACTTAAAGGACCATTTAATAAGGTGGGATGTAGTGAGTATGAGCAAAGAAGAAGGTGGTTTGAACTTAGGCAATCTAGTCCATAAGACTATAGCTCTTTTGGGGAAATGACTATGAAGATGGCCGTTGGAGAGAGAGAGAGAGACTGTGGCATGAGGTGATTGATAGTATTCATGGTTCTTTGGAAAATGTCTGGGATACTGGTGTATCACGTCAGGCTACTTCATCCTCCTTGGAAAGAAATTCATGACATTCTTCCTTATTTCTGAACTTTATCAAGTATGATGTTTGTTTTGGTAACTCTGTTTTATTTTGGGAAGATATTTGGGTGGGTAATTCAGCTCTAATGGACCTCTTTCCTTCCCTTTATTCCATCTCCATGCTTAAATTGAATGTTGTTTCTCATTCCTCCCCTTTCCTGTCCTTCCTCAGTCTCTAAGTTGGAATTTTGGGTTTCGAAGAGGCTCAAGGAACTATGAACTTCTGTGTGTTTCAGATCTTCTTCTTCCTCTGGGTGATTTTTTTTTTGGACCCCAATCAATTGGACAGGAGGATTTGGAGCCCCCGTCCAAAAGGGTCCTTCTTTTGTGCTTCCTTTAAGTCCCTTTGTTCTTCTTCTGGTCAGAAGGTTTTCCTGTTCAAGGAGGTTTGGACTAGGCTTGTTCCCCCTAAAATTATGGTGTTTTGCTGGGAGGTGGTTTATGGAAAAATCAATACTTTCGATTGTTTGCAGAAGAAAAGGCCTTTCATGTGTTTGTCTCCTAACAGGTGTATTCTTTGCAATGCGAATGGTGAGGATTGTTTCCACTTACTTTTATCTTGTTCTTTTGCTGAAGCTATCTGGAATTGGATTTTTGCTTTGTTTGGGCGCAGGTGGACCCTACCTACAGATGTTTGTCTACTGTTTGAACCTTCTTTCTTTGTGTGGCCACAAAAAGGGGGTGGAGCATGTGGAAATGTATCAAAGTAGCGACCATATGGACAATTTGGGAAGAAAGAAATGCAAGAATTTTTCAGGAAAAAGAAAGAAACATCCAAAGTGTCAAGGACTGCATTTTGACAAGAACAGTACATTAGTTGAGGACTATGGATTCCTTCCAATCCTTTTCCTTTGATGACCTCTGTAGAAGTTGTATAGTTGTGGCGGTGAGCTCGTCCAAAAAACATAGGGTGGTTGCTGACTGGTTTCCTCCGCTTGAGGGGAGTGTAAAGTTGAACTTTGATGGGAGAGTAATCAGGGTAACTCAGGATCCTCTGGAATAGGATGAGGTTTGAGAGATAAGGATTGCAACATATTAGCTCTTTTCTCTGGTCCAGTAGGTTTGGGAGATTCTAATAGGGCTGAACTGTTAGTGGCCCTGCAAGGTATTCAAGTTGCACATCAACTTGGAGTGGAAAATTTAATAATTGAAGGGGACTCTAAAGTTGTTGTGGGCTGGCTGGCTGATTCGGATTCAGGGGTTTGGTGCTACAGGGATCTCTTAAAGAAAGCCAAGTGGTTAACAAGAAACATGTGCATTAGTTTACAGTGGGTGGGAAGGTTGGCAAATGCGTTGGCTGATTTCCTTGCTAAAGAAGGGGTTAATAGGGAAAATTTGTACTGGGCTGCATTGTAATCTTTTCTCTTTTGCTTAATCTCTAATTTTTTTAAGGAGAGGTTGCATCTCATGCTTCTCCTTGGGATGTTTGTAACAATTTTCTCATCTTGTTAATAAAATTATTATTCAATTATAAAAAAAGTAGATTAAAATGGTTTTGCCATCTACAAAGAAGACCATCTACAGCACCTGTAAGAGAAGTGATCTGTTACAAGTTGGGGGGGGCTAGAAGAGCCAGGGACAGATAAAAAAGAACATGGGTTGAAGCAGTAAGAATTAATTTTAAGGGCTCATAATTCAAAAATGGATATGACACTGAGGAGATTGGAATGACAGGATTTATGTAGCAAACCTCATATAGCAGAGGCAACGCTTAGATGATGATACATAGATAGTCTGAAAGTTACCGTAAATGATAATTTTGAAGTAACAGTAAATTTCTGGAAAACTTACAAATCCTATTTGTGAGGTACCTACAATTAGAAAATAAACTAAAGAACTTAAAAAATACCATATCCCTATCACTCAAAAATTCTGAAATTGGTATAGGAATGCGAAAAATGATTTTTGTTTCCATGGATTCTTTCCTTGCTTCCATATCAGTGTTATTTGAAGGTCTAACTTCTTATTTTGTTTCTATATTCCTTCTTCTGATACAGGTTGTACAGTTATTTTCTTGCTTGGATAAGATAAGCTATATTGAATGGGCTCTTGACTCTGAGTACATACTATGTGGTCTTTATAAGAGACCAATGATACAGGCATGGTCATTAACCCAGCCTGAATGGACCTGCAAAATAGATGAAGGTCATGCTGGGATTGCTTATGCAAGGTGGAGCCCTGACAGTCGTCACATACTCACAACATCAGATTTTCAGTTACGTCTAACAGTTTGGTCACTGGTAAACACAGCCTGCATACATGTACAATGGCCAAAGCATGCTTCTAAGGGTGTTTCGTTTACACAAGACGGAAAATTTGCTGCCATCTGCACTAGACGTGATTGCAAAGACTATATTAATCTGCTGTCTTGTCAGACATGGGAGATGATGGGTGTTTTTGCTGTTGACACGTTAGATTTAGCTGATATTCAATGGTCACCGGATGATAGTGCTATAGTGATCTGGGATTCACCTCTTGAGTATAAGGTGTAAATATGATCTTTACCTTATTTTTTATTTTGAAAATTATCGGCCTAACATTACCTCACGAGTTCTGGTTTTAATATTTGCCACTAACAATATCTAAGTCTTTTGATGAGATTATGGATTTGTGCTTTCTTTTGTTATATATAAATATGACATTGTTTTTAATTTCTTAGTCATTCAGTTGCAGAGACTATTTCTAGTAGCGAAATATGCTTTATCCATTCAGTTCAGATTCATTTCTTTAGTCCCCATTTCATCATCATCATTATCATCCAAGCCTTATCCCAATGGGGTTGGCTACATGAATCCTATTTCTCCATTCCATCCCGTTTAATGACATATTCATTCTTAAAGAGAGATCTCTAGATGAAAAATTAAGCTGCTTAGATGATTGCATACATCCTATTACTATTGTTGCTTTGGGCAGTTGGAATTTGGAAAATGTGATAGGTTCAAACAAAATGGGAAATGTCATATGGTCAAGTTAGTTTTGGGTGTAGGTATTATATTTTGCAACCATTGAATTGTTGGCACCAATCCAACATGCCTTCGCTGCATGTATTAAAAAGTAGGAAATATTGGAGGCTATGTTTTCTGAAGAATGTGTTTGATCTTTGTGCAGTGTGTACAAATGTTCATATCATCTTTTGTATATTTATACATATTTTGTGCAAAGGGTGCTTTTGGTGTAAAATTAGTTTGTATTTTTTAAATTAAAATGCTTTAGGCCATGATGAAGCATGGAAATCTTAGAGTAGCATGGTATTATGCAGGTTCTGATTTATTCTCCTGATGGGAGGTGTTTATTTAAATACCAAGCATATGAAAGTGCATTAGGTGTGAAAAGTGTTTCTTGGTCCCCATGTGGCCAGTTTCTAGCAGTGGGTAGTTATGACCAGATGCTACGGGTATTGAATCACCTGACATGGAAAACATTTGCTAAATTTATGCACTTATCTTCAGTCCGTGCTCCTTGTAGTGCCCCTGTTTTCAAGGTAAATATATATATATTTTTAAATTTCATAGGACTGGTACTTTTTTTTTTTGAGAATTTGCACTTTTTTTACTTCAAATCATGGGGTTTCTGAAATTTGGGCAGGAGGTGGATGAACCTTTACAACTTGATATGTCGGAATTACGTATAAGTGACGACTTCATACAGGGCAATTCTGGTGAGCACTTATCACTTCTTAGGGGGTGTTTTCTAACATGAACAGATTCCTATGGCGTGATTCCTAAGAAATTGGACCCACACAATTTTGATTTCAGTGATTTTCAAAAGTCTGAAAAGTTATCAGTTTGTTCTTCAACATGGATTGGTCCCCATTTTTGTCAAGTGGATAACAAATGGTCAGAAAAAGAGAGAAATTTGGACTCTATAGAGTGAGAGTTCTCCAATTTCAAAAATGTCAAAATTTTGGTTTCAAAATTGGGAGAATATTCTGTTTTAAAATGAGTAGTACCATTGAGATGGATGATTGGCAAGCCTAGAAAGGACAGATTCAGGAGGTAAGGTAACACATTTGAGAGGACTTAGGAGTAGCTACAAATAATGACAATATAAGGGAAAGTCAACTGGAATGTGGAATAGTTTCCTCATGTAGATGGGTGACCAATAAACGCTCTGATGAAAAGTTACTTGGTACAAATCTAGCCTCCAAAAGAGAAAAGGAAGACAAAACAAAATGCAGTCTTAAGTTTAGAAAATGATTTAAGGACTTCAAATTTTGCAGAAAATGATGGTTTCAATCAATTCCATAAATCATATCTTGATCTCAGAAATCACTGAAATCAGAATGTCCATGTTGGAGAAAACCATGTTACGACCCCTTCTCGTTTCTTTAAAAATATTATCCAGGAAATGTAACTATAATGTAATGATTTTCTATATTTTTTACAGAGCTTTTGTATCTATTTATTGAGGTATTGTATCAAAGCATGCTTAAAAGTGGAACAGCTTCTCATCTATGTTATATAAAGTGATTGGAAGTTAACCTGTTGGTGGTTTGGTCATTCAGTAAATTAAAAAAATGTTATACAGGGGCACTATATAGATTTTGAAGAAATTCAAAAGAAAATAAAGATAACTATTCCAAGTTGAAAGTAATTGTGTTTGGAGTAAGTAGCAAACTGAACTGTCATTCTCATACTTCTTTTATCTATTTTGGCCTGTCTACCAATCATGTCTTGGCAAGTTCTCTATCTCATTGTTGACTTGAGTTCAGTTGCCTATGCAATAACCCCCAAATAAGTCCTGTAAGCTGTAATTAATCAATCAATAATCATCACCCAAGTCCTGTAATGAATAAGGTCTACAATTCCAAGATACTACTTTCAAATTTCAAGATAAACCTTGTCAAATTACGGATGCATTTGAGATATATAACAGCCAACACCTACCTAGAAGTCTAAGATAGTCACAACTCTAATTTTAAGGTGATTGTTCCTAGTGTTGTTTGAATCAGGACTCAAGAGGCCTTAAGCATATATAATCTGGCTTATCACTTATATAAGGATACATAAGCTAAGAGATTATCCCGAGTTTTCCTCAATAATTACCATGCTCTTTGAGTAGCTTTCCTCCTTTTATTGTTGACCAGCCTTCCTCCTGTTCTTTTAGAAGTTTATCTAATGGGAATTTTTAGCAGATGCTATATTTATGTACTGGGTACATTGGTTTTTACTACTATTTTTTTTAATCAGCAACAGTAGGCAAAGCTTTATATTGTTGATTGTATGGGAAATAAAACCAACGAACTAAAGTTACATCACAATCTGACGTGTTTCCCCCCACCTGATCATTTCTTATTATCCCTTCACTTGCTCACTTTTTGAACTTTGCAATGCTTTTTGCCAATCTTGGAGTCCACCTAAATTTGCAGTAACCAGGCTTTTTCTTCCCTATTAAAAATGTAGGGAACCAATGATCTTTGATATGCTATTATTGTTGTTTTTATTGTTTACATGATTACCTTGAGGTTTATGTGAAAATTCTAGCTCACTCTTTTTTTTTTTTATTTATTTTTTCAACTTTTCCAGAAAATGCTCCAGAGGGACACTATAGAGTCAGGTACAAGGTAATGGACCTACCCATTACCTTGCCTTCTCAAAAGCCTCCTGTAGACAAGCCAAACCCTAAGCAAGGCATCGGTAAGCCATTGTTTTATTTTATTTATTTTTTAATTTGTAACAAGATTAAAAGATTTTATCAATGGAGAAAATGCGGTTACATGATACCTTCTCTGGTGCAAAGAGGGAGGTCCAAGGAAGGAGAAGAAAAAGAAAATTCAACCAATACACCTTACGAGTAGAGGTGTAAAGTGGGCTGTGCCGTGCTGGTCCGCGGGCCGTCACGGGCTGTGCTGCCCTCCCCGATGAAAAATTTGGGGGTTGGCCCACGGCCCAGGCCCATGTGGGCCCGTGCCATTCCATGGGCCGGGCTGGCCCGTGGGCCAAGCCTTGAGCCAGGTCGGGCTGTGCATCGGGCCAAAGCTATTTATTTAAAAAAAATGTCAAAAAATTTAAAATTTTAATTTTATATGATTTTTGTGTATAAAATTGCTTATATATACAATAATTAAATAAAAGTATAATAAAATTATAAAAATATTTATTTTATTAATATATTATATACTATATATTATTATATAATTATAATTTATATAAATATACCCGCGGGCGGCACGACCCGCATGATCGTGTCGGGCCTGGCATGGCCTGCGGACCGTCGTGCCGGGCCACGGGCAGCACAACCCAATATACACCTCTACTTACGAGTTACCTACTGCTGTAGTTGAAGTTGTAATAGGTACCATAACTATATTCTTTGATGAGGATGTTTGCCATTTTATGTGGTTGGGTGAAGCCTAACCTGCCTTTTAATGGACCATACGAAATATACCTACTGCATAAGAATAAATCCATACACACATCTACATGCAAGGAGTTGGCAAATGGTACTTTATTTCTGCCTTGGAGATCATCTATACTAAAGTGACCACGTTTAGTGATTTTATCCAACCAATTTATGGCATTATCTTGGATTAGCAAAAGATGGTAGATTACTCAAAAATCCATTAATGTTCACTCCCAACAATCCAGTAAACTTTTAGGAGATTTCCTGGTGAGAGCCAATAAATAGTGCAACTACCTGATGTACTCTAATGTGATTGGCGTACTGCCTTTGTGATTTAACTAAAAAAGTTAATTATTTTCTGAGAACTAATATGACCTCAAATACTTAACATTCAAAGATCCCTTTCTGTGGTTGCAAGTAACTGAATCCAGTAATTTGTGATTTGATCAAATTATCTCCAATTAACAGGTCTATTGTCATGGAGCACCGACAGCCAGCATCTCTTCACTCGTAATGATAACATGCCAACTGTTCTCTGGATATGGGACATTCGCCATCTTGAGCTTGCTGCAATCTTGGTACAGAAGGAACCTATTCGTGCAGCAGCATGGGACCCAACATGCGCACGTCTTGTTCTGTGCACTGGAAGCTCACACCTGTATATGTGGACCCCCTCTGGTGCATACTGTGTGAATATTCCGTTGCCCCAACTTAACATTACTGATCTGAAATGGAATTCAGATGGAAGTTGTCTTCTCCTTAAGGACAAAGAGATGTTCTGTTGTGCCTCAGTGCTCATGCTCCCAGATTCTAGCGAAGATAGCTCAGATGAATGAATGTTGTTTTTATTTTCCAGCTGTAATGAGCAAATATAATGGTTTTGTAATTTTAAGAGCGGACATTTTTGGTGGCTTCCCTGATATTCTCTCCTTTTTTCTTTTAGCAATGTAATATTTTCATGCATTTTTATATTGATTACATGTTAGCATTACCAATCCTTGCCAAGACTAGTATGCTCGGATTATTTTATCCTGGGATGCATTGACAACATTCTGCTTCCAACTCTGCTACCTAGCTAACAGCCTAACACACTTCTGCAAGATTGTGCTTGAATTGATTGAATTCGGGTGTGGAAATAAAAATTGATCGCCCCAACTCTGCATGTTTCTGGGCTCCATTGATTGTCAAGAGTGCAGAATCAGAATTTGGTGAGTTAGGCCTGCCGATCCGTTTTAATAGTTTTCAAAACTTTTCGGTAGTATGGGCTAGTAGGGCTAGGGCCATCTAAACACTAAACGTAAGTTCAGTTTAAGCCTTTCCAGTCCGGCCCCGGCCTAAATGAGATTTTGGACTGCAGGCTTCCAACGACTGTCTTTGCACCAAATTTCTATGATTCTTTGGCATCATATTGGGATTTGTTCAGGCCACGAACAAGAAACAACGGTATTCATCTTTGATCTTCAAGACTTCATAATGGGTCGGATCGAAACCGACCTGGACAAATTGCAGGTTAAATTATAGGTGTCAATTCCAATTGGTCAAACCCATGGTGCAGATTATAGACGTTATAGGTCTGGTTTAGAACTGATTTTGCACAATTGCCTATCGAGTGTTGGGATTGGGTATACCCTGAACCTTACCCGGTCAGACCCATTGAGATTAGATATGCTCTTTCTCTCTCTCTCACACACACACAAGCTGATCCCAATCTTATCTAGACTCAACTGAACCCAACCCAAAAGGATTAGATGAAGGTGGATTTATCACTTTTTTTGGGTAAAATATAAAAAGTTCTACACAAGACGAGGGATAGCACAACCCCAGGAGTCACAAAAACAAATAAAACTAAGATCCCGAGGGATACATTCAACACAAATAGAACCTCTAACCAAAGCATTCCGAGTTAACCAATCTGCTGCTTGATTTACTTCATGATATGCGTGTCGAAAGTTGATGCTGTAGTTGATCTGAGAGCAAACACTAAGACACTCTGCGATGATATTCTCCAGTCTCCATGGTAGCTTCACGGTTTTCCTTAGACAGTCAATGACAAGCTTTGGATCACCTTCAATAATGATTGGGAAACCCTTGAAGTCAACAACAGTGTTGATTACTTCCCAAGCTGCCCAAGTTTCATCTAAGTTGCTTTGAGATCAAGAATTGAGCCAAGATGATTCCTGGCAATACATGCTATAGGGCATCAGCCATTAACATTGCAAGAGGCATCAAAATTGATTTTTATTGACTCTGGTTTGAGATTTTTTCACTCAATAGACTTCCCAGCTTTCATATTATCATTTTCCTTATTCTCTAAAGTATTAATGTCCCTCAATAGTTAGTAGCTCTATCGAGAATAATAGTTACTAGATTGTTATTGAAACACTAATCTTTCCTATTTTTCCAAATAAACCATAACAAAATTGCTGGTTTTTCTTTGTGCATTCGATCATGAATTGTAGATTGTATCCCCGAGATTTGGTTCCATCAATCAATCTCTCACTATCAAATCCAAATCATTAGGGGCTGGGAGGTCATCATTCACAGTCATCCAAATTTGATTGGAGAGATTACATTTAAGGAATAAATGGTCAATGTTTTCCTCCTCTCCACAATGACTACAACTACCATCTATACTAAGACCTCTCGCCCTAAGCTTATTTTTTGTGGGTAGCTTGCCACTGATAACCAAGAACATAAAACCCTAATCTTTGGGGGAACTTTTCGATTCCAAACTTTTTTAACTCCTCGTTATATTTCATTTTTCACAGAGAAATTATCAGAGGTAAATTTCCAAACTGAATTCATCTAATAATATCTTCTTTCCATATGTTTCTCTCTTGGTCAATCATATCATTCACTGGCATCTCCAAATTTGAAATACCTTGTGGATTAACTTTATTAATAAAAGAGGTATTGCCGGTCCACATATCATTCCAGAACTTTATAAGATTCTCATTGCCTACCTTCCAACTTGTTCCCTTCATGAGCAGATCTCTAAAAGGTAGAATATCTCTCCATTCCTATGAAATACCTTTCTTTGGATGTTTACATCTCTAATTGGGGACCGGGTCTGCTCCTCGCATCTGACGCCTCACAGGTGCCTCACGCATATCCTACCATGCATTGGGAACATCTCCCATACTTATTAGTATTATTCATAGGAGATGTTCCCAATGCATGGTGGATGTGCCTGTGAGGCACCCATTTGTGAGGAGCAGATCCCATCACCTCTAATCGAGATACCATGAGTATGAGCAAACAAAAGTAAATTTAATAGAGAAGGGGTAGGTCCAATCTGAACTGTGCTTTCATCCCACTTGCTCAGGCAGTAAGTCCTTATCCTTTCATCTTCATACTATTTCATGTGGCCACTCCTTGGCAGGACTGCTAGTAAAAAAAATCAAGTCTCGATTTGGAAAGAGTACAAATGCAAATATGTAGAGCGCAAAACCTTATATTTTGTATGTATTTGCACTGTACATATTTACATTTGTATTCTTTCCAAGCTAAGCCTAAAGTGCTTTTCCACCCACTAACCTTTATGTACGAAGCAAATGAAAAACTAAAAGACGATGAATTTATTTTTGGGATCTATATAAAGGGAAAATCTATGATATAGAAAAGATATGATATGGAAAGAGTTTTGACCAATCAAAACCCATCCATGAATATTAATAACACTTTATTTACTCCCACGTTTGTGATTTCAGTTTATTGGTCAGTTATTTTTATCATATCATAGTCGAACCCCTTCTTAAATAATGGCTGTAATTCTGTTTTGCGTTTAGTTGCTAACAGAAGAAGAGAATCATAAAAAATTATATCAACAAGTAAACAACGAAGCACTAGTGGTCTAGTGGTAGAATAGTACCCTGCCACGGTACAGACCCGGGTTCGATTCCCGGCTGGTGCAAATTTTTTCACAATATTCCCTATAAGCTTCATTTGTAGCAATTGTTTGTTTTTTATGGAAAAATAAGTTAAAAAAAAACAGGCTAAAAATTATATACGCATAAAGTGGGTAGAGCTTCTCCACACTGGGCTTTCCTGCAATCGTCCAAAGGCACCTTCCCGTTTTTTGTGTAGCCCTTGGTTCCAATCTTAAGTAATATAAATTATTACATGCCTCTCTCTTACGTTGTTAGAGACTTTTATTGTTAATGTTCTGCCATTTTTTATTTTTCAGATGGGCATAGAAGGCAAATTATTTCTTTTTCCAATAGTGATGTAATTCTCATTCACCATTTTATTGCAACAACCAGAGTATTGGTCTTCTTGAGATGGTCCCTCATAGATGTCACTAGTGATCATTCATACTTTCTTAGTATATGTATGCACTCTTCGAAGATATAGGGCTCGTTTGGCACGTTTTTCGGCTGTTTACAAGCTGGGAAAATCGATTTTCGATCTATTTCCGTTTGGCGTGTAAAAAATTTAGTTGCCAAAAGGTGGAACACTGAAAAGATGTGAAAAGCCCATTTTGGGCTGATTTTGGGAAGCTTTAAAAGAAACTTCTCACGCCTTTCGTGTTTTATTCTTATGCAAAAAGACACAGAAAGACACACATCTGCCAAACGTGCTTCAGACCGCTCAAATCTTCATACAAAAGCTCAATGCATCTTTTGACTATCATAACTACCAGAAGATGTTTCCAAAAAAACACGCCGAACAAACCCATAATTTGCATCCTTAGTTCCTTTTTTTTGCGTATGCCCATTCCAAGTTCATTACTTTTCTCCTCAGCATTACTTCTGTTGCTAACTTATCATTTAAGAGGAACTATAAGAAAGATCTTTATTTTGGGGCAGATATACCCTTAGTTATCATTTTATATGCTGACCTTATGGAAATAATTCCTTCTTTGTTTTCTCCCCAACAGTCTGTCTTGCCTATTTGTCTAAGGTATTGGGATGCTTGGTACCAATTGATTTATTCTATCTATTTTCCGGTTCTTATTATTACTGCCCAAGAACTCAGAAACTTTAATATTTAAATGATTAAATCTCTATCTTGGATAAAAGGGCTGGGAAAAGATTCAGAGATTCAGTGATGATTTTGTCTGATTGTGAGTTTCTAGTGAGATTTGGATTATTTTTGTGGATATATTGTCTGATAAACGTCGCCTGTGTTGATAGTGAATTTCTCTCTGTTCCTTGCAATTTAGGCATGTTTAGGAATGTACAAGTTAAAAATAAGTGATTATTGAATAAGTAGTTTATAAAGTATTTTCATAAAAATACTTTTATAAAAGTGTTTTATAAAAATGTTTTATAAAAATATTTTTATAAAAATGTTTTCGTAAAAGTACTTTCATAAAAGTATTTTCTTAAACTGCTCTTATGGTTTGCTAATTGACTAAATGTACCCTTATTGTACGGATAATTTTATAAGAGGTATTTTAAAGGATAAATTTCTTAAACTATCCTTATAGTTTAACTAATTTACTAATTATACCCTTACTGTTAGAAAATTAACTGATACTACCCTGTTTCAAAAACTTACCTTCACCGTTAAAATATTAACAAAAGGACTAAAATACCTATTTTGCCCTTAAATCAAATTCGAAGAATAAGGGTTTCCCTTATACCGCCTCAATTGTTTTCACTGGTTTCGAGGACGTGCAACCGCGCCGCCGTGCAACTCGAACCAGCGGCGGTAGCAACTTCCTCTTCTTCTTTTTCTTTCTCCCCTGTTTCTCCTTCCTTCTTCCTCTTCTTCTTTTTCTTTTCTTTTTTATTTTTCTTTCTCCCATGTTCTGCCACCACCGCTGCAACTCGAACCAGCCGCGGTAGCAACTTCTTCCTCTTCTTCTTTTTCTTTTTTCCCTGTTCTACTACAGGTGCTGCAACTCGAACCAGCGGCAGTCCCGTTCTCATCAAGCAATTTCATCAAGCTCGACACCGATTGCAAGTTCCAATGCAACAACCATTCCGTCTCTGTTGCCGGATACAGCCACTGCCATTCCTTTTAAAAACAGTAATCCAGTGGTCTCTCTCCCTACCGGTGAAATTGACTCTGCTACAATACGCCCATTGCCCACATCTAGTCATGGAAAACAAGTAACCGAAGTTCTTTTTTTCAGCTAAAAAAACTGATACGAAGGAAGCCTTAGGCAGAGCATGTGCGGCCACTAGAACTTCTCACTTTATGATGGTGATAAAAGAGAGAACATAGAAAACGTTGTGGCATTCTCATCCTATCTTTGGTGCCAATTCGAGAGTAAGCACGACAATCGGTACGGGTGACTGTCGTTTCCGCCATTAGTGCCGGTAGGCCTGGGACAGGGTGGCGTGATTGATGTTGTGGCTGTGTTGTGCTCCTTACTTTTGTTTTGGTTTTGATTAAATTTATCACGAAGGAAGAGGAAGGCTGATAATACTGATCAGCCGGCTATTATGCCTGACGAGAGCATTTGCTGATTCTGCCTTGCGAAGGTAGAAATGAATCTGAAGCCTATTGAGACAAGCGGCGCCAAAGGGGAGAGAGAACGAATTATAGAGTGAGACAATCTAAAACCCGGTTCCGAGCTGCAATGGGCTAGGGTAGTGAGACAAGCGGCGCCAAAGGGGAGAGAGAATGAAAGGGCCAGAGGTGAAGGGGGCAATCACCGCCGCTGGCTAAGGACCGATCGGCTCAGTAGAGGTAACATAAGTTAATTTTCAAAGAATAAGGATATACTTAGTTAATTAACTAAAGTATAAGGATAATTTAAGAAATTTACCTTATTTAAAATTCAACTCGGGATAATTTTTGGATGAAAAAATCGAATAAATACTTATTGCATAAACACTTAAAAAAGTCAGAATTTGAGCTTAAAAAAATAAACACTTATTTCTGAGTTATTTTTCAAATATCAATAAATGTTTAATGGCCTAAATAAGCACTTATTTTGAATGAGCACTCCCAAACATAACCTTAAACAGGGTGGTTCATTATCTTGCTTGTATATCTCGTGGAAAAGGTTTTTTGGATGGAGTCAGTTATCTCCTCTCTTGATGTATCTCGCCTTTGATTAATGAAATTTAGTTTATTACTAAAAAAAATCTATCTTGGCTAGCAGTATTAGGTGTTCTTTAATAATGGTTCACAGGTCCACTTATCTTGCCAAAAAATATTTTTCTCTCTCTCTCTCTCCATTGCCAACTATCCATCCATCTGGTCTCTTTTTTGTATAATATTCTCCCATTTCCCCTTTACGACCAAGATGTTCCATTTTTCTCTAGGGCCCCAAACAGACCGGTCTCCCTTGAGTATTTCATTCATATGATTTTGATCCACATGACTTTACCTATTTGGCAGGCATAGGAACACTAAGGGGGCATTCATTTTTTGGATTTTGAGAGGGGAAAGTTGGTCAATGGAATTTTGGTTTCCATTTATCAATAATCACATTTTCTTTTTTCAGATTTATGTGGAGGCCAAGGAAAGTTTATTTTTCTTGGGGGAAAATAACCCCCCCGGGCCCGAGTAAGTAATACCCATCTCTTAGGTGGGTAAATAACTTTCCCACTTAGGGGGTTGGAGGGAGTTGCCAACACTTGAATAGGACAAAAATACCGCTTTTAATAATGGATTTTTATGGCTAAAATGATCATTGCCTTATTTACTTGGAAAATAAAAGGTCATGGGAAAATGTATTACCGAGGTAAATATTTCCCAAGAAAAACTTACCCAGATAGGCCTACATGTGCCGTTTGCTTAATTGCTTTGCAAGTAGCTTCACTTGAATACTTGTCATTTCCGACCATTTTAAACGGTCTCAGCAGGAATTTTGAAAAATACCCAAAAAAATAAACTTGTATTTCTTCAATGCCATAACGAATGAGGGAGAGAATAAAGCGTATCCAGAAATTCCTGTTTGTTTTTAAGCATTCCAGAAATTGCAACAGGCGCTGTAAATTTCCTCCAATCAAACAAGAAAATGAGAACTTTGTTAATAACATTTGAGAGTTCTTTTAGGATAGCAGGAAAAAATACACCAACCTGATCAAATAGAACATGTTGCCAGATAAATTAGCTTGACAGTATATACATATACATTTTGCCACCAAACATCTCTACATGCATTCTTCTCATATCTTTCCAATGTAAAGCCCGCCGATTACAGCAAGTGATAAATGTTATGATACAACATTCCCACTGCACCATACTCTGACTTCAGAAATACAAGGCAGGACATTCATGGAATCAATAATATAGAAATACACCATAAACCCAATCAAGAGGCACAGCTATTCATAAACGTGGCTGTAATTATTAAGCTTCTTCTGAAGGTGCACGATGATAAACTATTGCCTGATGTGAACTTACCGGGTCAGCATGATATTGCCCATAAAATGCATAGATACCAACTGAAATGATGCTGAGGACAACAAATCTCAACCATGCTTCATGGTGTAACTGCAAAAGGAATCCCACATGATTATCAATCTTCCAAATCTTTCTCAACAATGTTATATTCATGATGGATTGTCAGACTGCCTATGCTAATTATGTGAATAATCAGGTCTGGTTTTAGAAGCAAACCTGAGCAAACAAGAAAATATTAAAGAAGATGCAAACAGCTGGCACAATAGGAACTCCTGGACAACGAAACCCTGATGGATCTGTGTAGACCTGAATAGAAGGAAAAATAAAGAGGCAATTTAGAGAACAGGTGAATAATGAAACAATATGATCAAATGCATGATCCATTCACAATCTTAGAAAATGCAATAGTGAACATACTCAACATTACAGCCAGTGCATCAAACATATTTCCCACTCAGGAAGAAATAGAGAACAATAAAAACAACAAAAGAACAAAAAATAAAGGAAAAGATTACAATCAAGAAGGGAATTTGATTAGATTCTATCCAATAAAGAGAAGATTAATTTGACGAAGTGGCTAGACACCAATATCATTTACTTGATTCAATCAGGACTCTCATCATATTATCAACTTATCCACATCTTAGCTATCTATTAATTATTTTAACTCTCACTAAGCTTTAAAAGAATATATGAAACATAAAGGGATAGTGTGTATACATAAATAGTACTTACCTGACGATAATGGAGAACAAGGGCACCAAGCATTGCTATTAGTATAACTATCATAAGCATGATAAATGAAGCATTGAAACGATAGCATAGCCCGGCACCGAATCCACAACAGGCAACTAAAAGAAGGCAAATGACACCTTCATTCCATGTTGAGATCCATCTTGGAGACACTTGATTTGCTGCCTTATCATTCCAACGAAGGGTTATGACACATGCTGAAACAACAGAATAACCTGTCTGCATGGGGTGGATAATGTCTATGTGAGATGCATGAGTAATTCATTTTTAATTATAGAAAAGGAAAACAAGATAAAATAAGAACCTCAACATGCATGAATAAATTTATTTCTGTTGACTATCAAAAAAAAATGTTAGGGTTAAGAGATCATCATACCAATGAGCCAACAGAAAGAATATGTGAAAGCACATGCACATTAAATAATCCTGACAAGACACCAGCAACCACACCAACCCAGACTTGGGAGTGAACAGGAGTGTGAAGTGATGGGTGTATTCTTGCAAATATGGAAGGTAGTAAACCATCTCTTCCAAGACCAAGATACAACCGAGACTGTTCATAAGAAACACTGTTAGGTTAAATCTCATGATATGCATGATCATGCATGTCAACTACATTGGAATCTGAGTATACCTGAACATACAAGCCAACCAGAAGTGTAGTAGTAAGGCCAGCAACAGCACCTATACTGATCAAAATAGAAACAAATTTCAAGCCCTTTGATGTAAAGGCTTCAGCCAAAGGAGCATCTTCACCAAGTAACTTGTAAGGAACCATCCCAGTAATCACTAAGCAGACAGCAATATATAAGACTGCACAGATGAGAAGGCTTCCAAGAATGCCTATTGGTAAATCCCTCTAAAAGTAAAAAAAAAAAGAACAAATAAAAGCAATTAGAAAGAATTAGAAAGAATCAGAAAGAGATATTACTTGTACAGAGTACTGAACATGCCTTAAATTGGGCCACCCAGAACCAAGTTTGCTAGTTTACACACCTGTGGTCTTTTAGATTCCTCGGCAGAATTAGCCACTGCATCAAATCCAACATATGCAAAAAATACTACAGTTGCTCCAGTTACTATTGCTTTAAATCCATTTGGTGCAAAAGGAGACCAATTTGATACATCAACCTCAAAAGTACCAACCAGGATGACTAAAAGAACAATTACCACCTGCAACAGGATTGGTGTTCACATGCCAGTCAAGAAAAAGTGAAAAAAAAGAAAAAGAAAAATAAACAGCTTTCATATTGGCATCATATGACAATACTTTTTAAAATGCCCCTACACTGATGTAACTGTGACCTTAGGAAGATTAAGTAGAAATGAAACACATCATGAGCACTACAGAGGTCTAATAATCCAAACAAAGAAATAATATTGCAGTAAGAAATCTTCAACTTTATGAAGTAGAAATCTTCTACTTCATCACCTACCATACAAGCAGTTTGGTCCCCTCCTATGCAGTGTAATGTCAAACTGAACTTTGATGGCAGCTCTATTGGGAACCCCGGATCTTCTGGAATAGGGGGTGTGTTTAGAGATGCGGAAGGAAAAATCCTAGCTTTGTATTCCGGTCCAATAGGTTTGGGGGACTTGCTTAGAGCTGAAGTATTGGCTCTCCTCCAGGGGCTCAGATGGGCCGAGCAATTGGGTTTTCAACAATTAGAAGTGGAGGGGGATTCCAAATTAGTAGTAGGTTGGCTGCAATCAAATAGTTTGGGAACGTGGTCCCTTAGACAACATGTAAGGGAATTATTGAGCCTCACAAGGGAACTGGGTGCACAAGTGTATTGGTCTAGGAGGTCAGCAAATGCTTTAGCTGACAACCTAGCATAACAAGGGGTGAATTGGGAGGTTTTGTTTTGTGCAGTGTTGTAAGTTAGTTGTTATACGGGTCACCTTTTACTTTAGAAGGTGACAGTTGTTCCTCTGGTTTTATCTAATGAAAGTTACCGTTTCCTAWAAAAAAAAAAAAAAAAAACAAGCATAGCTATGATAAGGATTGGTCTCTTGGATATGTTAGCCTCAAAAACTTGATTCCAGAAACATGTTTATGCACATAAAACACTAGATCATAAACTATTGAGAGAATCTCAAAGGTACTTACCGGCTAAACCACAACAACATTTTACTGGTAAAGAGACACAAGGACAGCTTATTCAAGGTATAAATAACAGAAGATACTGCACATGCTCCTCAATAAGGGACACAAAGGCTGCCCCCAATCAACCCTCCCCACAAAAATAAAAGCCCAAAATACAAAACTCAGAACCATACCATGAGGGGTTCCCAAAAAAACAGCCCATACCCATTGACATTCTATCAAGGCATCGATAATTTTTTGGTACAAATAGTGAAACCTGGAGCAGGGTACAGAGGGAACTCTTGCACCAATACCTTTTTCCTCTTGGTTTTCACGGCACTAGTTAACTATTCAAATAACCATATTCAAAATGTTCATCTTATAAGAGTTCTTTTTCCTGAACTCACCACATTGTCTCTGAGGAATACAAAGGATACAGTGGCTCAGATAATAGATCAACTTAAAAGATAGCAGATCTCCTTATGCAACACATTGGATGATGAATACCATCCCCTAGCACATGCAACACATCATTAGCCATTCATATCTATGTCCTACTGAGCAGTTACTATAAAGTACTTATAAAGTCATACTTTGCATTACAGGCACAATGCTTTGAAGGATAATCAGGGGAAAAAAGGTTCTTTGATAAAGGAGTAACCTTTGTCATTGTCATGAAAGAATTCAATGCAGATGATTCTCTCACACCCCTGCATAAAATTATTGTCAAGAGTGCAAAGAGAATTGGAGCCAATATATTGATTGATAGAGCTCCTCCAAAGAACTCTTTGCCCCCGTGTCCAATCCAACTTGGAATGTTCTCTCTGAAGATTGGGAATAACTCTAATATTGTCACAAGATAACTAGCTAAGCTTCGTGCTATGCTCGCTGCTCCAATATGGTAGTCAAGCATCAGTTGTGTGAAAACAAGAAAAGCAGTGAGCTCATTGAAAGCTGTGTATGTATACAAGTATGCTCCTCCGACAACAGCAGGAAAGCGGGAAGCTAATTCGGCATAACAAAGTGCATTTAGCATGCACGCCACCCCAGCAAGAATAAAGCTAATTGTGACACCTGCATTAAAACAGTTAAATATAGAGAGCAGATTACTACAAAAGCAAGCATCCTATCAATTGAATGCATTTTGATGCAGGACCCACCTAAATAGCAGCTAATCAGGTGGCTAAAATGGGTACTAAGAAAGGTGAAAAAACAGGCTACAAATCCCTTAGCTTGTCAGTTTGAAACTTATCCTTGATTTGCACAACAAAGTAGGCTGGACAGAACTTAAAGAAATTAAATAACTAATAAACAAGTGAAAGCAGAAATCATAAATGGGTGAAGATGAGTGTAGAGTTGATAGGTTTGTAAGTAAAGAACCGGTGATGAAAGCTGCTGTACCACTTAGAGAGACATTTAACAAAAGATAGCAGAAAATTAAGTAGGCCGTAATGGATTCAGCACCATTATGCTTCTTGATGCAGATATTGAAACAAAGAAAGAATTCATAGAGAAATAAACCACTTTCCAATTTCTAAACCAATTTTAGAATTTTTGGATGATAGGGATATTGGTATTTTTTAATTTTTAAATTTACTATTTAATTGATGGTATCTTAGAAATAGGATTTTAAGTTTTCTAGTAATTAACTGTTATTTCAAAATTACCATTTCTGGTAATTTTCCAACTTATTATTTATAGTAATTATTGTATTTGCTATTTATAGTAAGAGCATGATTTATCATTTTTATTAATTTTTGGCATTTCAAGAAAAGTGTTATTAGAGTTATTTTAAGAGTTAGAGTCCTTATTTAAGTGTCCCTATGGATTTGTCTAAGTTTAAAGCAATTAGAACTTTTAGAAGTTGCTTTGGGTCAGTTTCTGAGTCCAAATTGGACTATTGGAACTACAAAGGGATGTCCAAATTCTTATAGTGAGTCTATAAATAGAAACATTATAATTGACAAAAGAGAGTTGATTTATGAAATAAAGTTTGTTTTAGTGAATTCTGGTTCATCATCATCCAAGCCTTATTCCAACCATATGGGGTCGGCTATATGAATCTTGTTTCACCAATCCATTCTATTTAATGCCATATCCATTGTTAAATTATTGGTGCTTACATCTTTTTTTACTACTTCAACCCATGTCCTTTTCGGAGCCCCTTTCCCTTCTAGCCTCTTCAACTTGTAACAAATCATTTCTACAGGTGCTGTTGATGGCCTTCTATCCTTTTTAGTTTTTCCACTCATCCATCCCAGCATACACATTTATGCCAGAGTCATTTTCTAGACATGTTTCTCAACTGCCCAACACTTTGCTCCATACGGCATAGTTGGCCTTATAATTGTTTTGAAGAATTTTCCTTTTAACCCAAGTGGTACTCACCTATCACATATAACTCTAGATGCATCCCTCCATTTTGCCCACCATGCTCTAATTCCATGGTCAACATCCTCAATCTCTCTCTTGTTATGAATTATCATTTATCAAACCAAACAAAAAAGGTCACATTGAGTTATCTCTTGGTCTCCAATCCTATGTGTACCCTGATTTGCACTCCCATTGTTATCTATACTATCTATAAAAGAGCGAATGCCCTTTTTTTCTGGAATTTTCACTGGACATTTTCTACCCCTCTTATCTAAGCATATAGTGGGCACAAAGAGGGCATATATGTCATTTACTCTCACTTCAGAAACTGCCCACTTATAACCGTTCAAAAACTGTTCACTTATAACCGTTCAGAAACTGCCACGTGCAAATGCACATACATGTTTACTAGTTAAATTACGTGCCATATATTCAATTTTAGTCCTACTTACATTAAATCCTCTTGCTTCTAAGGCATTTTCTCCATAAGTTTAATTTTGCATTAAATCCTTCATTAGTTTCATCAATTAAGATGATGTCATCAGTAAACAATATGCACCATGGGACCTCCTCCTGAATATGTTTAGAATCCATGACCAGTGCAAATAAATAAGGGCTAACCAGCTAAGTGCTGAACCTTGGTGAAGGCCCATTGTAATGTAAAATCTGATGCCTCTCCTATAAGTGTTCTAACATTGGCTGTTGCACCATCATACATATTCTTAATTGGGACTATAAACCTTTTTTTTTTGATAGATAGAAAGTCTATAAACCTATTTTTAACCCCCTTTCTTTTCCAAAACCCATCATATTATCTCTCTAGGAACTCTATCATATGCTTTCTCTATGAACACCATATGGAGATCTCTTTTTTTCTCTCTAAACTTTCCAATCAATTTTCTCCAAAAAAAAAAGATAGCTTCCATGTCTCTGATATACTTGTTTCATAATGTGGGTCATGAGCTTAATTCCTCGATAGTCATTACAAGTTTACAACTTTGTTGCCAGGAATTTTTCTCTCTATTCCCCCTCCCTCTCACCTATTTCTTCTACTAAGTGATATATCTCTTTGATATTTACCCCAACAACAAGAGCTTGTTTCCTTTTTTTTAATCTCTTGCTCATTCTTTGATGGACAGCAAGCTGTCTTCTTGCTTCTCCGTCCCTATTCTCATCCTTAGTCACATAAAGCCCCTCCTTCACCCCACAAAGCTCACCACTAAACCTGAAATTTGTAGGACCCCTACAATGTCTTACATCATTTCTCCAGGATAAAGCATTAAAAGATAAAATTGCAAGAGCAATTCAAATTCATTGCTTCATTCATCAATTTCTTAAAAAGAGTTTTTGCATAGATTTATATAGTGAATTCAAAATATCTCTTTTGAAATTACAATATATTTAATTTCCTAAATAATGAGACTAAGAGAGAAATACTTGTTAGAAAATAATCATTTAGATCCTTCAAACACTCAGATAATCTTGAGGAACTAAAGATTTGACTATAAGAATCTTGAGAAGATTTGATTGAGAGTGAATCTTTTGTATATCACACAGGATCCACATAAGTTGTAAAGTTGGTAGTGTCAACTTCTTAGGCTTACTGGAATGGACTCAATGTTGTTGACCCTTGGAGCAACCCATACATTCATTAGGCTAGAATTTGTTGAATACATCAGCATCTGTGAAAATTTGACTATGGGCCCACCCATACAGACACTAGAAAGCCCATACAAATCTAGAGGAAGGATTGAGTTTCACTTCCCTTTCCTCAACCTTTGGTTTTGCACCACATTCCACGCATTATAAATTCTTAAAAGTTAGAACATTCTGAAGCTCTTTTGCATGTATCCTTAAAAGCGTATGAAGTACCAGCAATGCCACTTCTTGGATTCTAAAGCTCTCCCACATTATATTGTGGAAATCTACAGTTGCAATTATCAGGGGAAAAACCACTGGTTATCATTTCCTACTTTACCAATTAAAATGCTTCTGTGACAATTATAACATTATCGTAAAATCATTTGCTTGTGTTTAACCCAATATTACCTTCAGGAAAAGAATGAAATTAACAAAGTTGACTCCTCAATTTGTCTTTAATAGTGAAAGTAGAATATAATTTGAGGAGATAAACATTAAAGCCAATTGATCTCTACAAGACAAGAATTCTAGCTTCCCAAGCCAACAGAATAGATAGGACAACCTGATAGAGGGGGGATCAGAGTCTAATTTCAATTTATGATATTTTTATTGACTCCACTGATGAAGCACCTCTAATATCTTTACAGGTCCTGTAGCCACATGTGGAGTACATTGTGAAGAAATGGGTCTACAATTTTTCAGGTGGTTGGGAATCTAAGTTTGGGATCTTAAATATAAACAAGATCAAGCTTAAAGTTTTTAAGCTAGAACACTGGTGATGCAGCAGACACGTCTCGAGGGCCTACCCTCAATGCAACATTCCCCCCAATACCTTCCCTGGTTAGGGAATCAACAAGAAAATTAACTGATCTTTTAATTCATTTGAATAATACAAAGTGGTTGCACCTGTTGCATGGACATAGACACAGGAATCAGAATCTGATGTGTGTTCGTGACTCTATTCAGCAAGAGGAAAAAACTTGGACTTGGGGAAACATCCAAAATTAGCATTTATTGTCAAAACTTTTTTGGTAGTAAAAAATAAAAATTTTATTAAAATAAGATAGAAGAGTACAAGGAAGGAGACAAGAAGTCACCCGAGAGGAGAAGAAACCCTACACCCAACTAAACAACTCACCGGCTCCTACAACACAAAACCCACCATTGGCACCCAAGCCACCAAACAAAGTAAAAACCAATACATAAATAACTCTTAAACAATAATGATACAAAATCATCCCAAAAACAGACCCAATTCCCTTTGAACAAAACTACCACCCAAAACCAAGAAAAAGAGAACACCACAACCCAGAATCAACCACCACCAATCACTAACCAAAACTTACTTCCTTAATCAGCAGCAACAGAGGCATTTATCGGAACCTCATTAGACCTCTTGAAGACTTTTTCGACTTTCTTCAACTTTCTGTTAGGCTCCATCCCAAACACACAAATCCTTTGAATCTTGCAAATACTTTTAAGATTGGAATAACTTGATTGTGTTCACACCTTTTAAAACGTTTCAGTGCATTAAGATTCTTCTTACACTCCTTCACCTGCTTAGAACTGCCATTAATCCTTTCCAGCTCCAAAACCACATTCTTTTCAAATGTCTTCAACTCAACTCTCCTCATTTGTTCTTTATTATTCACTCCAACATTTTTATTAAACCCCAGTGCATCTAGAACCTCTTGCTCCTTCAAAATTGAATCAACCCCATCATAAACCAGTTTCTCTTGCTCCCTCTCCCTCCAACTTTTTAAATGCCTTCTTTGCAAAATCTTCACCCCCTATAAAAAATAGCCCCAATGTTTTGTTCACCTCCACCTCACTATTCACAATAGTCTCCAAATTGATCGATCTTTCAATTGCATGTGTTTCATCCATCTTTATCTCCTCATTCTGATAATCTTCCTCCACTGCACCTTCTCCTTGCTCACCAGAATCCTCCATCGGTTTAGTTCTCCTTTTATAGATCCATATGCTTCCTCCTTACCCTTCCCGTTCAACTCTTCTTCTACGTCACTACTTTCTCTCCCACCTCCCCTCTCGTTTTGTTCTCCAATTTGACCCTTCTTTTCTTCAACCCATGCTGGTTTACAGCCACCACTAGCTTTCTCCCCTTCATCCAAATCCCCATCAAACAGTAACACCTCCCATACCTCCTCCCCCATCTCATTTACACCTAGGGGTGTAAACAGATCGAATTCGAATCGGATCAGGCAATATCCGAATTCGAATCCGATTAAAAAATTCGATATTCGAATTCAAATCCGACTAAATATTCGAATATTCGATTCAATTCGAATTCGACTAATTAATTATTTTAAATAATTAATAAATATATAAAATAAATATTATATATATATAAAGTAAATAAATATATAAATTATTTATATAATTTAATTATTATATATATAAATTATATAAAACATTTACAAATTTTATATATTATATATAAAAATTAAATAATGGGTCGAATTTGGATATTTATCGAATCGAATCAGGTCATATCCGAATTCGAATCCGATTAGCTATTCGGTATGAATAGGATATCTGAATTCGATTCGATTATGTCGAATCTCAAATTCGAAATCGGATTTCCGAATACCGTTGACACCCCTATTTACACCCTCCCCAATGGCTCTATCAACACCCAACCCCTCTTCCACTTTCTCGTTATCTTCCTTTTCCTCTTTCTCCCAAACAATATGAATTCCCCTGTCTTCTCAAAATCAGATAATACTTACTTGTCCTTGATAGTTGTCTTCAAAATCGTTTAAATTTACATTGCCACCTCCCACATTAATCCCAACAGCTATAGATATTCTGATTCTTCAAAATCCTTACAACCATCATTGTCTTCTACAAACTTCATCTGCACCCCCTCTTTCTGTTGGCATTCTTTGGACTTTCTTTCCTTCTCCTCCTGAAACTTTCTTGCTGGTCACTTCTTCTTCTATCCATATCTCACTCCCTCTGCTCTTTTCCATAGGTTTGTCCCTGTAAATGAACTTAGTCACACAGCAAACAAAATGATTTCTTTTACAATCTCTACCTACATTGTAAAAGTGTTTCAGCCTACTTTTAGTAGAAGTCTTTTCTCAAGAATCCAACATCGATGCTTGATCCACTTAGGAAAGTCCTTTTCACACTCAGTGGCTGTTGGCAATGAATAATTGCCAACCCTAATTACAAGTCCCCAGCCAACCAAATAGAAAACACCCCAAGTACAGGTAAAATGTTTGAAATCCTACTGAAGAATGAAATTGTACTATTTTCTACCCAACTCAACAGTTTGCAGAACTAGTGTAATCCCTGGAATATTTTGTTGTTGATGCAAATTTCAATGAAGAAAGCGTTATCTCTCTAGATTGCAACCGATCTTCGTCAAGCATCGACAAATTATGGAGATAATAGTTCTCAAATGTGTGATATATTGATATTGTAAAAGGATGTCCTGCAGTTTCTGTAGAATAAGAGCTTCTAGGTGTTACTCATAGATACTTGGTAAGGTAATGATGATAATCTTTTATTCCCCTGGTTCATGCTATGCAGAAAAATAATGAAAAGGAAAAGAACAAAAAAAAAATTATATTTGCTGGTAAACTGACGAGAAAATTAAGACCAAATGTAGTAAAATGTCTCCCAATGAATGATCCCAATAATGATGTACAGAAGCATCCAAATTAAAGTTAAACAGAAAATTGGGTGCAAAACAAAAACAAGTATGTTTTGAAGAAGTCACGACAGAAGCCACTCCTAGCACATAATTTAAAGAAAAATATACTCCTCGAATCATACAGGATCAGATACTATAGAAGATAACTGACATATAGCATGTATTCGATAATACAACATGAAGATAGGAACTGAAATCATCGCAACAACGAATTTAAGAAGCCAACAAAATTAAGTCAAACCATTCCCGAAGAGGTAAACGAAGAGATTAAAAACATAAGATGAGAAGACAAAAGGAAAAGCACGAAACTACCTGGTCCAGCATCGCGAGCAACGGTCCCCGTGACGACGAAGATTCCAGCACCGATCGATGCGCCGATACCGAGCAGGATGAGATCGAAAAGACCAAGACGACGAACGAGGCCTTCACCGGAGGGAGTACGGATGTAAGTATCCGATGAAGAACCGGTTAGGGTTTTGGTTCTGAGAGCTGAAGACAAAAAAATTGCGAACCAAGATGACGACTTGGAAGAAGCAGCTGCAGCATCATCATCGTCTACGTAGGCGTTCCGCACACCCATCTCAGAAGAATTCGGAGTTCGGACAATGAAAAGAAACGAAAGCAAACGTGGAAAATGAATAGAGGGCCGATACCAGGAGGACGGGATAGAGTTGACAATTAAGCACGTGAACTAAAATACTGCTCATCTAGATGCATTCGCGGGAATGTTCAGATCTGCTTGTTGGTGGGTCCCGGACAAGGCATGGGCCCGCTACGCTTGTTGTCTTGAATCTCGGAGCCAGAGCCGGTCGGATTTCCGGCGGCCGAATAACGGCGAGGAAGGCTTCATTTTTTTTTTTTTTAATCTTTTTTTTTGAGAAGAAGACACAGGGCTTAATTCGCGGCTCTATGGGTTTGGGCCCATAAAGGCCAAAATTGCAATATGGGCCATTGCTAATCAATTTTTTTTTAACCGATTGGAGTTCAGGATCCAATCGGTATATAATGCACATTCATTGCTACCCGTATAAAGATAAAAGGGGTCTTAAATCCCTCTAAATACCTTGCACTGCCTACTAATTTGGGTAGATCTAAAGCTGCCGTGTTTAATAACATCCTTGAGAGGATTGCCCGGTATGATCGCTGGAAAAGAAGTGCTTATCAAATCTGTCCTTACAGCAATCTATACAATGTCATGTTTCTTAGGCTGAGTTTGGAAAGAGTATAAATGCAAATATGTACTGTGTAAATACATATAAAATAATGTAAAATATGAGATTTTATACTCTATATATTTGCATTTGTACTCCTTCCAAACTGAGTCTTAGGCTGTGCTTGGAAACGATGCAAATGGAGTGTAAATCCCGGTTCAGGGTAAATTTGCACTCTGATTCACTTTTGCCTGTGTTTGGAAACATTACATTCATGCATTGACAAATGACAGACCAATGCATATTTACATTGCTAATAAGATGTAAAAGTACATCAATAAAAAAAAGAAGTAAATTTGCATTCAAGTAGGCTTTTGATAAAAAAAAATGAGAATGTGCTTTATTGAAATTCATGTTTAAATCCATTACAACTAAAAGTTTGTTTGGTAAGAAGGTAAATTTGTCTGTGCAAAACTAACCAACTTTACAATTTATATGAACCGTTTTACACTCTACATATTTGCATTCACACTTATTTGCATCATTTCCGATCGCAGCCTTAATCCCAAATCCATTTGTGACAAATTGCAGCTCTGTAGAGAAAATTTTAGTAGGGCAAGAACTTTAATGGGAATTAAAAAAAAAAGTCATTGGATAAACTGGAATCTAATTTGCAAGAACAAGTTGAATGGAAGATTAAGTTTCAAAGACCCTTACTCTTTTAACACAGCCTTGGTATCCAAGTTGGCCTAGAGGGAAGCTTATGGGGGGAGATAATCTCTACCAAGTACATAGAAAGTAAAGATTTCCTTAGGTTGCATTTGTTTTAGGTGTAAATTCAATTTTACACCAATGGGAACCAGTTTAGTTGTCGATGGAAATTGGGACCGGTAGATTTTGAAAATTTACACCGACTATGTTTGGTTGTCAAGGTGTAAATTTGGTGAGATGGGAGCTACTGACGAAACCTAAGATGGGAGCTACTGTAGTCGACACAGAAGGAGGAGGGAAGCAGAGGAAGAAGAAAAAAAAAGGAGGAGAAGAGAGAAAGAGAGAGAACGAAAGAGAGACAGATGGAGAGAGAAAGGTCGGAGGTGGGTTCACAGATTTGCCGTTGCAACTGGTTGTAGTGGCGGTGACGGAATAGAAAAAGAAAAAAAAGGGGGAAGGAGAAGAAGAGAGAGAGAGAGAGAGATCTCATATTTTCGTTGTAACTGGGTTTTGTCACTACTGCCCTGGGTTCAGATATGCCCTAGGAGAGAGGAATCTCATACTGCCGCCACCGCCCTGGGAGAGAGAAATCTCATACTGCCACTGCCGCTGCTGGGTTTTCCTTCTGGATGTTTGACAAAGACAAACGAGAAAAAAAAACAACAAGAAAGAGACGTTAGTTTTATACCGACAATTTCGATGTATATTTTACATTGATTATCGGTATAAAAAATTTAAAAATTAGTTTTACACCAATTTACGGTGTAAAATTACACACTTTCCAAACACGTGTAAAATCGAACCGGGGTGTAAATTTTACCCCGGTTCGATTTTCCACCCCAAACAAACGTGGCCTTAGAGATTCTCTCCCTAAGAAAGGTTTGTGGGGGGTGGAAAGCATTCCATTCTTGAAGGTGAAATTCAAGAGTAGGTGTATCTATTTGGGATGACCCTTGGCTCCCTTCCCTTAAGGGCGAAAGAATCCCTTAGCCCCAAATGAGGCCCTGGATTCCCAACTGAAGTTAATGATCTTATTGACCAACACAATAGAAACTGGAAAGAGCAAGTTGTTCATTCCCTTTTTTGTTGATGTGTTCACAAACCAATTTCGTCATTATGAACCTTTCCCCCTTGTTTGAGGCTGATAGTGAAGAAAGAAACTTGAAAAAAAAAATCAATTGGAGGAAGTTGTGGAACATTCCAGTTGAACCAAATGTTAAATCCTTTATTTGGAAAGCAGTTCATTAGAGCCTAGTTATGTGTGCTCTAACCTCAGTAAAAGAAGGTTATTGCCTTTCAATACCTGTTGGAATAAATGTGTTTAGTGACGTATTCCCAAAGGCCAGCCCATGATAAAGATGATTGTTTTGGGGGAAATGCATTCTTTTTAGCACAGATAATTTTGTTTCAACCACAAATTGTCTCGAATTTAGTTCATGTATACTCTCTTTCCATCTCCCCATACACTTTCTATCTTGTACTTGCCACCCAATCATTATAGGTATAAGCATTGAGAAACATAAGAATATATCTTGTACTTGCCATCCACTGAGACTACTGTGGAAAGCCTAGAATTATATAGGTTTGATCCCATACCTCCCTTTTTTTTTTTGAATAAACAAACAAAGAAGGATCTATTCAATGAAACAACAGTACATCAAGGAGTTAGGAACCTGGAGCTACCACCATCAGACTGAGCCAAGGACCTTTACCAATTAGGGCAGTTAAAACCAAAATGCCTCTGATCCTGGAGGCCTCCTTTAACAAGAAGATGAGCCAGAACATTACAAATATGCCCTTTAGAAGGAAGAACACATGAGGATTGAAGTCTGAGTTCTACCTATTAGCACATTGAATTAAGTTTAAACAGTTCGATTTTAAAATAAACTGAGAGAGACCACTTTGTTAAGCCAAAAGAAGCCCTTGTCAGATTGTGATAGCTTCAGATTGAATAGCTGAGAAGGATGCGCATACGGGCCATACCAAGCTACAACACAATTGCCTCTCCAATCTCTAATTACTGATCCAAAACTAGCTTTATCAGAGCCTAAGAAGCCTCCACTAGTATTTACCTTGAATTGTCCAAAACCCAGAGGATGCTAAAATGGGGGACAAACACTAGTTTAAATTATTGAACCATTTGACATGGTTAGTCGGGTCATGTATTAGATGTTAATGCTATTTATTTTTTATCCTAATTCTTATTCCATTTCTATCATTAATGAAAATAATTCTCATTAACCACACTTTTTTATATAATGAATATATAATATTATAGAATGTACCCAAAATTATCGACAAATTTCTACATTTTCTAGAATTTTATGTATGTTATTATTTAATAATAGCATCCATTTGGCATGGATAGTTTAACCACTAACCCACTACTTGGATATAAAAACCATTTTGTTTTTTTGGTTGATTTTAAATCATGTATTCCATTTTCATCATCGATAAAAGTAATTCCTATTTTCACACTTATTTTTTTAAGATGGTGAATATATAACAATAGAATTGTATCAAAATGCTTTATACAAATCTTATATTTTTCTTTGAACACACACACACACACACACACACACACACACATATATATATATATATATATATATATATATATATATATATAATATTCGTTACTTAGTTATGACATTATAGATTGACCCATTTGACCCAGAATGTTAGATCATTGACCTATCTACCATCTAGGTATGGAAATGGTTTCATTTTCAAACTATTTTTAAATTTTTCATTTCATTTATATCATTAATAAAATTATTATTATTTATCATACTTATTTTTGTTTATATTATTAGTATATAATATTATAGATGTACCCAAAATTGTTTCATTTTTGTGTACTATTCTATTTTAAAAGTTTTATTTTTAATTATACATCATGGGTTAACCTATTTGACTTGAAATGTTGAACCACTAACCCACCCCCTAGATAGGAAGATGGTTTAATTTCCCATCGGTTTTAAGTTGTATATTTGATGCCCATCATTAATAAAATTTTGTCTATTTTATCATGGTTATTTTTTAACATGACAAATATGTAATAATAGAAACATGTGCAATTTTGTAATTTTTTTTTATATTTTTTATATTTTTGTATTTCTAAATTTGTATTATTTATTTATAATATCATGAAATTATCCATTTGACCTAAATGGTCAAAGTGCTTACCCTTGACATAGATGGAAAATATGATTCTATTTCTAGGTTTATTTTGAAAATATAAAATTGCATTCTATTGATATTTATTGTGTATGGATTTATTAGTGAAATTTAATGATGATAAACAAAAGTATTTTTTATATTTCTAAATTTGTATTATTTATTTATGACATAATGAAATTATCCATTTGACCCAAATGGTTGAACTACTTACACACCACCTATATGAAAAATGTGATTTCATTTCTATCTTTATTTTAAAATATAAAATTCCATTCTATTAATAATTATTGTGTATGGATTTATTAATAGGATTTAATGACAATAAACAAAAGTATAAATGTTGGATTCAATGAGAAAGAATATGATTTATTTAATGGCTTAAATGTGAGAGTTAATGAGATGTAATTGAATGTACTTAATGGTATTCTTTTAATTACATTTTCTACCCTTTCAATTGAGATGAACTAAATTCAAGAGGAGGGGTATTTTAGTAAAGAAAAATTGTAGAAGTCAATACCTCCTCATTCACACTTTTATAAGTAGTATAGATATGTGGTAAATAGCATGTGAACCAAACAAAGAAAAAGTTTAGAAAGAAAGAAAAACAAAACACTAGCAACTACACCTATTGATGAACTTCGACAAAATCCAAACAAAGCACTTCAAAAAGCCAATAAGGACACTAGTCTAGCCACAAGCCAGAAGACACCAATCCCTTTGAGCTAACTAATGGGCTGGAACATTCTAATCTCTTATAACAAAAGAATGAATCACAAAA